ACTACATGTCTCGAATTGTTGGTATGGACATTTTTGCTCTGCGAATAATTGAAAAGTGATAAAACTCGTAGTGTTTTGGCATTTGATGTGTGCTGATGTAATGTGATTGTTTTGGGTGGTTTTCAAAGTCGTAAAAATCGCAACGTAATTTATTAATTAATAAAACGTGAAATACGCGCGCGCGCTGGCGATAAATTAAATTAAGATTGTAAACGGAACAGAATGCCAGAATGCGGAGGAGATGAAACTATGCGTGCTTACCGTAAAATCTTTACACCTTTATTTTGGTGTGGAGACGCAGCAAAGTTTTCTCTTCGGGTAATTTAATATCTTGCTTGTTTCACGCCGCGTGAAAATAAAAGTAAGAGTAAAATGTTTGAGATTTTTTTGGTGAAAAAGCACGTTTATTTGATTTCGGTCATTAAAAGTTTAAATATATTAATATATTGATGGTCCGTCCTAAAATTAAATTCATTGCAAACTGTGCATTTAAATGTTAATAATGATAAACATTTTAAATGCCGAAATATAATAATTATTAACTCCAAATTTTAATCCGTTTTTCAACTTCAACCTTTAAACAGTCAGTTTTTCCATGATTTAGAGACACAAAAAGTGGTATTTTAAACACCGACGGCAAAGGCCGTGACTAAAATACTTTAGTCACGGGTTTTAGTCACGGGACCTATAAAATGCCATGCGCAGTCAGCCAAGCAAGCCAAAACTAATAATACACAATATCTTCAATTATATAACTTTCAACCCTAATTTAACCCCCTCAAGTTAAACTTTTGCAACAAAAAGTAGCCTATTTACTTCTCTTGGATCAAAACTACCTAAATACTAAAATTTATTAAAATTGGTCCAATGGCATTTGTGTGAAAGCGTCACAAACAAACAAACTCACATTCGCAATTATAATATTAATTAGAATAATGATAGAAACACATTCGACACTCCAATAGCCTATAAATTATATTAGCAAACATGTTAAGGGTGTGACTTTTTTGACAATACGCTTTAATTTTTCCTACTAAAATATTTCATCTCTTTCTTTTTCATATACTACACACGGTGAAATTAAATGCATCTTTCCGAAGCCTCCGAAGCACTTTCTAATGTTTTTGTGCAACATGAAACTGGCCAGGCTTTGATTGATTAATAATTTAATTAAAAATGCTTATTTGCTTAGCTAACTGTACGCGGTTGTGTGCGCGTGTAGTTCTGGCAAACGAATGTAAATAATCCGAGATCTATAATTAAAATCTCTTGCGCTCGATGAAGAAGAAGAAACAAGAAAGATACTGCAGATGACGGCGCGATGCGATTCAAAGTGTAAATATTATCTAGTATTAATTACCCGAACGTTATTTCCGGTGCGTGCGGGTCATGCAAGAGGTGATGTCGCAATGAACAGGTCAAATCGATGAAAATATCGGTGTTGTTATTGTTGAATATCCAATTGTGAGATAATCCAAATTTGCACTGTAAACATCTAGCACATTTTAATAAAACCAGTTTTAACTTGTAATAACAATAAAAATTGTCATTATTATATGAAAATATCGCGGAGTATAAAACGTAGTGTCCCGCACGCGCTACCACCCTATCACAACATCTGCGTGTAACTGAAGTTCACCGAAAATGCGACGCATGCGAACGCATTCAGAGATCGCTCCCGAGAATAGCGGCTAGAGCACACATACAACCCACACACATAAGCATTGCGCGCGTTCCCTATGCGCGTTTGGCTCGTGCCCGAACGTGTGTGACCCCTCTTGCGATAGGGAACCCTCGATTCCCGCGTGTGCCCTCCACGCCCTGCGCCCACCCGTTTTCCGCACACATGCGGCACGTCGGCATAGTTTTTGTGCTCTGGATGTGAAACCCCAATAGGCAATAGAATAAGAGAAATGCAAGAGAAAGAGAAACAACTTATTAGAATCGGTTAGTTTTTGCTACGCTTATCTATGGTTTATTTTTTAGAAGCAAAAGGTACAAGATACCCGCATTAAAATTCAGGGAGCAAATATTGGTTTAATAAGCACGAGTTTAGTAACTGTGTATGTGTAAATAAATAAAATAAATAAATTCGAGGGTTTATTTTTTTTCATTTTCAAGTGAATTTATTTTATTACCCTTTTGGGTTTTCAAGGGTGGGAATGTGCAATCCCATGCGGTTTTGTCATTTATTGTATTGTGCCACCCTTTCTAATTTCAACGAGTGCTTCTCTTCCCTATGATAGTAAATTTTTACAATTCAACGCGTTTCAAGTCAAATTGAATGCACAAACTGCACAAAATGTAAAAAGCTCCGCCCACACAGAACTATACTTTCTGCACTGCATCTAGTACAATGCTAATATTAAACTCCACCCACGCACGATACACGCCTCCTTTTACGCCCAACGCCCTCTATACGCCTATTTATTTATATTTCACCCTTTTTCTTGCATATTTGATTCAATATCATTCGGTTAAATCGCTTATTCTTATCGGATTTAAACCGTTAAACCGACATCTCCTGCCGCTTTCGAATCGTATGCTAATCGATATATTTTATGCAATAACGAAGGCTTACAGGACACTATTAGGACACCGACAGGCTGCCGTCAGGAAGTCAGAGGGTGCATATTAATTAATGACGCTCCCCATTAAGGGTTACACACTGCAATTCGGCTGCATACTAGAATGACATCAAACGCTTTCATAGCCAGCCGAAAATTAAACTTTATGGCGCTTGACATTGATATAAAGCAAACATCGTTAGAATTATTCAAATTCTTCGAATACTCACCGCTCTCGGACGAGGAAAATCTAATTTTATCACTTTAATTAATTGTTTACAGCGTGTTTTAGTTGCACTAATTGTTTGTCAGACTATGACAAAGATTAATAACGATTTGATAAGTTTTTAAACTGAAAAGTACGTTAAGACAAAGGTTAGGTTGAAAACGATGATGCGCATGCGCAGTATTAGAATGCAAGTGTTGAATGTTGGTAGTACTGTTGTTTTTCTAATCGTAATTCGATACCCATTTATTCCACATAGCGGACCCTTCCTAACACACTCCACACTTCACCAGCTGTCATGACACACGTTCCCTACAGCCACATGGGCACAAAATAATAGAAATAACAAGCTTTCCCCTAAAAATGACTTCTCGATAATAAGCTATAACAAAAATGCTTTACAAAACATTCAAACGTATTAATTACCTTGTTTTCTGTCATATAATGGGTTTAGGTCACACCTACAACTCATTTGTCAGAGGACAAATGTTGCTTTAAATTAGTAGAATGCCTAAAATAAAGTTTTTAGCGATCCTTAGCCAACAAACACTTCGAACAACACTGCATCTTTGAAATTATTCGATATTTACTTCATCGTATTAAATTATATTAGGCAACTGTAATAGCACCAATGCATTAATAATAGACTATAACATAAACACTTTTAAATAAAAATAAAACACTTCTTCTGTTTCTAAATAAAGAAATCAACTTTAAATTAAATCTAACGTTGAATAATTGTGTTACTAGTGTTTAAATACATCTCTAATTAAAGATACAACCTTAATTTAGCTTAATTTAAAGTTTTAAACGTGCTCTATTTTTAACTTTTAATTTTAGCCTCAAAGTTAAGTTTTTATTTCGTTTTGTGTTATGCTATGCAACTTTACTGCTACTTTAAAGTCTCTGGAACCTTTAAATTGGCTCACACAAATGTAAATAATTATTTGGAAGGCCTGAAAGTCAAAAGACAGAAGGAATAACAAAAGTAGCAGCTTGGTGTCATCGAAACTAATCTCTAAACACCGAAAGACATAAAATAACAATTCAACTCAACATCAACAACCTCCAAATGATTTTCGTCAATTGAAGAATTATCTATGTGTTTATTTACGTTCCCGGAATAGCTGCACCGTTACCGTACACAAATTCAACGCTTGGCGAAAACAATTTTACGAATAATATTCGATTATGTATCGCCTGAATAGAATTGCTAATTTTATTTAAATTATTCGCATAATTCACGCATAGAATAAATTTTCGACTTACATTTTACTGGTGTCCAATGTAGGTAAGTTTAAGAAGTCGTAAATGCCATCAAGATGATTGAAAAGACGCCTACTGATGCACAGTTACACTTTAATTACGTTTACACAACGGAGACAACACTCCACGCGTCAATTTATTATAATTGAGCAAATTTAACAACCAGAGTTTGAAAATTGGATTGAATGCTAAGAATGTTTGTTCCGGTGAAGGATAGAATCAAACTAGCTGGGAAATTCTATTTGGTTGGGTTTTCTCGGACGAGGAAATCGGTAAATTCGTGTGTTTAACATAGAATTGACAAACAGACAGTGTCAAACTGATTCACCCGTTTGTTGGAGTTGATTTCGTCTTTTAACCTTTAATGTTATCTTGTTTATGAGTTTTTGTTGTTTGAAAAATGTCGTGGGGATAAGTTGTCACACGATTCGTTTGTAGTTTATTACTGAGGACATTTTGGGAGCTACCCGTGGTTACACGGATTGCGAGCCAAAGGCGCAGGACTGCGTTCGGATCCTGCGCAGCAATTTCCGCATTGATTTTTCCGGCCGGCAGCACCGCTGCGAGGGAGTGAGCAGATACAATGCATCGACAATGCACCAGACAACATGGAAACTGTTGCAGTGTACAGACAGCGGGCGGCTTATCTGTATTATCATTTAGAGTGGATAAATATTGTATTGTTTACCTAATGTAAACGTAAGATTATGTAAATCAGATTATTTATGTATTACTATTCTTAAATTTGTGAATTTGGATAAGAAAATTTTTTATTAACATTACAAGTCGTTAAAATGTCTGTTTCTTTAAACCCCTGTTCAAATGTTTACAGTAAAGCTGAATAGATTGGTAATTACTGATTTTCTGACCGCCGCAGCATACTCATATTTTTATTTTATTTTCAATTTGACAATAATGACAGGTAAAATCTCGGAAATTCAAAAATTGTCAAAATTTTTCGAGGAGTTTCACACGTCAGTTTGATCTTATCGAAATTAATGTGAATTTCGAGAAGAAATTACATGCAAATCACTGTAAATCAATAAATCCTCATCGTATAATAAGGTGTCCCAAGTTAAAAGTCGGAAAAGTTCAAATAAAGCACCTACATTGAACTCAGATTAAATTTGTGTGTTGAAGCCAAGTATAATATTGAGATTTCTACGTTTAAATAATTTTTTTACTCAAAAAGTTGTTGTCCAGAGAAAGAAAAGTGCAAAACTTATAGTTTTACAGTTTAAATCAAAGAAAGAAGCTCCCTTAACAAGAGATTAATTATATTCTGCATTTATTACACGTATAAGTATTTATTTATTCAAAACTCGATTATTTTACGTAATTTTTATGTATTTTTAGTTTTTTACCAGAATTTAATATTAATATGGCTTACAATCATATTCGAGTTTATGCAAGAATTAAAAGAGAAAATCAGATGGCTCATTCATCACGAGTAAATAACAAAAAAATTACTTTTTCTTCATTTGTTTATCCATTTTCAATTATTTATTTTAGTATGAATTAATATCTGATTGTCCAGATGGTTATGACTCCTTGCAAACCTATTACGGCGGTCAAAATTTCAAAAGAAAACGACGCGTTTTTAAGTTTGACAAAGTTTTTGAACCACACTCATCCCAAGACGATATTTTCAACATTATTGCAAAACCTATAATACACGAGTAAGTTCCAAATGCATTTTTGTATTCAATTTTGTTTTAAAATAAATAATAGTGTATTTTCCGGAATCAACGCAACAATTTTTGCATACGGAGCGACTGGAAGCGGAAAAACTTATACTTTAACCGGTTCACAGACAAAATACGAAGAACGCGGACTTATTCCTCGAACAATCGAATATTTATTTCAATTGGTTACAAATGTAAATATTTATATACAATATTAAATATATTTTTGCTTCAGATAAACAATATATTTATATTTATTTCAGAAAATGAGTAATTACATGTTCTTCATATCATATTTGGAGATTTACAATGAAAACGCGTATGATTTACTCAACCCGAAGCAAAATATAACGTGCATAGAGGAATTACCGTAAGACTTTCACAGCCTATCCTTAATTAAATTCTCTACCCCTTAAATTTTGTGCTTTTGGGGAATTTCCTAGACGAGTCATCGTGCTGGAGGACGCGAAAGGCGAGGCGCACTACAAAAACCTATGCCTCAAAGAGGTGAACACCGAGAAGGAAGCCATGCGTTTGCTCTATACGGGTGACAATAACAGGTAAGCATAATCCACCCTTACATCTCTTAACTTGTACTGTCTTCCACCCGCCGTGAGTAATCCGCGCGCTTGCGGTATCGATCGGGTGAAATTGATGGGGACGCCGGAAACGCAAGCAAACGCCGTAAAAATCCCCGACCGTTCGTAATTGAGGCACGTCTTAGGTTTCCACTTTCCCCTTGGATAGATGAGAATGTAGTGGTCCTGCGTTCTATTAAATACGTTGTCTTTTTGTAGGACGATTGCCGAGACGCCCCTCAATGACTACTCATCACGATCGCATTGTGTGTTTACTGTTCATGTGATTTCCAAGTGCACTGCCACCGGAAAAATTACGAAATCCAAATTAAATTTGGTTGATTTAGCTGGGTAAGAATAAAAATACATTTTTTAACTTTTACCGCTAGACACGGTTGTGATGTATAAAAAGTGGTAATTTAAACACGGATGGCCAAGGCTGTGACTAAAGTACTTTAGTCACGAGGTGCGCTTGCGCCTGCGCATACAAATGTTCATACAGAAAAATCTCAACGTTGAAATAGGGTGGAAGCAGAAAAAATAGCATAAACATCACGTGGCTAAACTTTGTTATACACTCATTTGATTAAACGCTCGTTTTTAATCAATCTCGTGACAAACACTCCAGTTTAGTCACTTGATACTTAATATACTAATATTTTATTTATTATAATACATAACTTAAATATTTTAATTTAGTTCTGAACGTTTACACCGTATGAATCTCCATGGATTAACCCTCAATGAAGCACGTCACATCAATCTCTCTTTACATTACTTAGAACGTGTCATTCAAGCACTTTCGCGGAAAGGTACCCACCACGTGCCATACCGAAACAGCATGATGACATTCATCCTACGAGATTCTCTTGGTGGTAATTGTCTGACAGCAATGTTGGCTACTTTGAGTATGCTGCATGTCAATCTGGATGAAAGCATCAGTACGTGTAAATTTGCCCAGCGCGTTTGTCTTATCACGATGAATGCTAATGTGAACTATTTACCTAGTCCGGAGAAGGAAATTGATTATTTGCGTTCAGAGATAAAACGATTGAAGAAACAGATTAACGAAACTAATAATGCGGTGAGTGTAAGATTAATAATTAATATTATTTTTTGAAATATTTTTAGAATAAACAATTGACGGAACAAGAAAAAGACGAGTGCATGTTTGCTATAAAACAATATTTATTGGGCGAGGATGATTTTGTCATGATAAATGATATGAGAAAAGTTAAATATTGTATAGAATTTATGAGGGACAAACTGTCGTTGATGACTAAAGAACTGGAGTCGCAGAATTTACGTTCAACGCTTGATATTAAACGGAAAAAATGTATGGATGAGATGGAATCAAAGTATAAGCAAATTATCGAGCAGAAAGATGAAGAAATTTGTATCCTTTTAAATAAAACTTAAACAAAACGCAATTTTTAAAACTGCGGTGTTAAAAAAACTTAACTAATTTAACTTTGAGGTTAAATATTTAGGTTATGATACGTTTGTACGTAAAATAACCTCAATTATACTTAATTTTGGTGAATAATATGATTTTTGAGTCGTATTTTAATCAATTTTACGTTTAAAATTATTAATAAATTAATTAACTAAGTAAATTTTTCTTAAATTTTTCCCTCAAGCTGTTTTAATAAATGCAAACAATCAAAGAATCGACCCACAGTCTCCGCGAACTACAATAATTTATACCGCAGCAGAAAACTCAAAAAATCAAGAAATGTCAGAGCACAAAAAGTTTAAAATATTCCTGAATCAGAACAAAAATAAGCCGCATTTAAAAGAATGCATCAAACGAATCAAACGAAAATATAACGAAGCAGTAAAAATAGCTGAAAATTTATACAATAAACAAGAAGAAATTTCCACTCTAAAAAATTTACTACAAATCAACGGACCAAGCACAGATATTAAACTAAAACTGCATTCAGATCAAGAATTCTACTGTGAACAACTTTACAAACTGCACGACATACGTGCTGACATTGAAATACTAATACAACAATTAAACAAACTCAAAATCAAAATAATGGATGATTATAAACTGTGGATTGTTAGAGATAATCACGTAGCAGGTGATTGCAACATGAATCCACACTTTGGACATTTCGATGAGTCAAAACCAATCACAGGATATATACAGTTGTTACCCGAGAAGGAAGAAGTAAAGAAAAGCAGTAGTTTAAACGTTGTTACTTTTGATAATCAAGAAAATAAACAGCCGAATATGAATTATGAAGATAAAAAAGGACGAAAAATTTATACGAAATCGTCGAGATCAGTAAAAGTGGGAAAAAGACATACGCAATTGTCTCTGGTGCAATGTAAAAGTGCTGATTATATAAATCAAAGACGAGTCGACAGTTTAGACGCAATGGAAAATGAATTTTCGAATGATGTACCGCCTTATTATAAATTTGTACGTGCAAGTGATACTCCTGAATTTATATCGTATTTAAAATCAATTCCTTTAACTGGAGATGATGAAGTCGACGATGAAATTATCAAGTTCTACCGGATAAAATATCATAGACCAACACAATCATTATGTTAGTCTTAAAATATTTAAATTATTAAATTAATTATAAGTACATTTTTGATTTTTTTTAAATTTTTCGTCCTGTATGTTATATTTCGGCCATCAGAAATAGCCTATTTGCCTTTCCTTAATCAAAAATATCTTAATATCAAAATTTATCAAAATTGCTTTAAAGTTGTATGCATGAAAGCGTCACAAACATACAAAAAACTAAAATAATTGGTTAGAATTTAATATCGTATCTAAAACAAATGATAAAACAGTAACAAATAACAAACTAACATTAATTAACACACCAACACAAAAAAAATCAATTTGCATTATGATAAATTGCATGTAAGTTGTTCCAAATCAGGTTGGTCACCTTCCATGACAGCTTCCAAAAGATTCAAATGTTTCTTGTTGATGAGACCGATAAAAGAACGAGGTTTACGTTCAGATCCGCATGGAAGGTTGATTTTCACTAGTTTGTCACCTTCAATGTTGGCTTTCGATCGGAATTTAAAACCTTCCACTCCTCGGTATTCATAGACCTGAAGCAATTCATTATTTTCGAGGAATATTAGCAATGTTTCACCGTTTTCTCCAAATTCCAAAGAGATCATTGATGAGGGTTTGTATGTAGAGATTTTGTGGAAGACTTTGCCACTCATTGGATCTTCATAAATCTTTAAATAATAAAAATTAAATTTTAAAAAGCAATTTAAATATTAGTATACCTTAATAATATCAAGTTTTCCCATGACACTTGTATCTTCATGAATGGCCACTGCCATCATTTTCTTCCATCGTGGATAACCAACATTCAAAAGTACCATTTCTTCCTTTCTTCCAGGAATGAAGTTATTTTCAACTTGAGTAAAGTTTCCAATCGTAATTTCATCATTTGGTATACCAATTGGGATATCCTGACGATGCAATTTGAAAAGATGGCGTCCATTACGAAGAGAAAGACCTGTTTTGAGTCCTTGTTCCAAAAACGCTGCGTTGTCAATCGGTACAGACCATTTCTGCACAGGATAGAAAAGATGATCAGACGGAGATATCCTATATTCCAAAACAACTCCTTTTTCAATGCCATAGAAAGTTCCTGGTACCCTAGATTCATGTATCAATGTTTGATCATTCAGTCGTTGAATCAAAACAAGTTTTTCTTCATCAGACTCAAACTTCCATACATTACTTCCTTCAATACAACCTCTTTCAAGCAATGTATTATTCTGAGATTCACGCGTTATCAAATAGACATCTTCCCCATGGTGAACAGTGACGATTTGTTCAATTGTTCCAATGTCTTGTTCCTGCTGTAAAGTGAAAAACTCTTCAACCCAGAGATATAACTTTGCATTGCATCCTTGGTCCTTAATAAGCAAATAATGTTTCGATTGATGTACAAATTGATGGACGTATTCAATATTTTCTGGTAACTCAATAACTTGTTTGTTGTTCAGGTATTTGAACGTATAGATCTGTTTCTTTGTTAAATCTATCACAGAATTGATGTCTGCGCAGATTTTCTGATAGTTTTCCTAAAACAACATAAATTACAACACAAAATGTTTCTTTAGTTGAAAATACTTACAACGAGATCTTTTTCAACAGTGTATTTAAACGCTCTGCGATTTTCTACATCCACCGCCATCTTGTGAATGTCCAAGCCATTAATCAATCCATTTCCGGTGACATTATCTTTGAAACTAATGTTTGCCTCTGAAATCCATTCATTGGAAACAACTTGTGCTTCCGGTAGAATTTTCTTCACGCCATTTTGTATCCACTTTGTCATGTTAATAGTATTAACCTCTCCTGATACAATAATATCATTATTAACAATTGTGCGATCTAAAAATCTGTACGTCCCAACAAGTTGTTGGTCTTCATCTGTTGTGACAATCTTTCCAAGGTCTTGATCATTAACAGAATTGTGAATATCCAGGAATTCACGAACAACAACATTACCTTTGAACATAACCTTATCTTTAACCTGCTGAATACGATCTGCCATAACTGTATTCAAGTATTCCGGTTCTAATTTCTTAGAATTCACTGTATTGCCAACTTTTATGTCTTTGATAGAAGACAATTCATCAAAAGTTAATTGTTCGTTAATGTTCAGATCAGATTTCAATTGAATAAGTGAGGTTAAGTTGATATTGTTGAGGTAATTCGCAGTTACATCACTTTCGATAACAGCCGATTGAAAGTTCAAATGTTGAGGGATTTTACCCTTATTAATAAAGATGGCTTTCTGTAACCAATCAGCAGGATTCACGCCTTGAATATCTTTTGTATACAAATCCGTTTCAACTTGAACTTCTTCCTTAACATACACATCATTTGTGAATGTTACCGGAGACAATACATCACGATCTTCAGTAATAAGCACAACATCTTCTTTGAAACTCTTCAAATCAATTCCATTCACGTTTGGAGTGTTTAAATTTCCGCTTATGTCAACTCTATTCACGAAAGTTAAATTTTGAACCTTTTGAATCGTTTGTTCATGGCGATAGACCAAATTATGAAAGAATCCATTCATAGAAATGTCATTGATTGATTTTACTTGGAGATCTTCAATTATAGGTCCTTTGGAGAATAAGACATCGCCTTGGATTTGATATGTGTTTTCGTCAATAACTCGGAACGCGTTGGTGATGTTATCAATCGGAATGTGATTGAATGTGCTTTTTAATTGGCAATCGCCCTCGATTGCTACTTTCCCAGGATTACTATCGGAGACGCAATTTCCTGCTTCTCGTTCTTGCGCAAGATGTCAAACACGGAAATGTTGTTTAAAGCTGACGTTTGGATGTAGTTTTTCACTGTGAATCCGTTGAAGTAAATTTTGTGACCTAGGATTTCCACGTTCTGATCGTCTTTGAATACCAAGTTATCGCGGAATGATGAAAATTCAATATTGTTGAGTTTTTCGACTTGCAAGTCACCAAATCGCACATCCTAAGTTAAAAATAAATTAAATCTTAATACTACTATTTTAAAATGGATATTACTGACCTGGAAGTTAATTTCAACTCCTTGATCACCTTCCTTTGTACTGAAATACAACTTCATTATATCTTTCATTAGTTTTCCATTCACTTCATTGATTTGAAGTGTATCATGAACAACTAATTCTTTAATCGCAAGTTTCCCGTCCATTAATAACTCCATTATCTTTCTTGTGTATACATCTAAATCGAAAACATCTTTAGCATCATATGTATTGATGAAATTCATCTTTAAATTAGGAATTCGCGATGCTTTCACAACAAACGGCACATCAATAACTTGCTCCTTTGTTAAACTGAAACGTGTCTCATCAAATTGTTTTAAATTGAAGTTTTCTTCATGTGCAACCAGATCATTTTGAACAATCAAGTTTTCCACAGTTAACGAATCAATATTCAAAGCATCCATTGACATCTTTCCATTGGAATATAAATACTGCTTGATTGGAATGTCATTCAAAACTTTTTTGATATCCAACTCGTCAGTCTGTAAATCTTCATCGAAAATAATCTCAGACGATATGAATTGCTCGCCGGAGAGTTTGACAGCCTCCTGATCCAGTTTTATAATGTCCACCCCATTGTACAAGCCTGTTATGAGAAGGTTTTCAAAAGTGACGCTGCCGTTTAACTCGCGCACATCAAGAATTCCTTCGGTGTCTTTGTGTATTAATTTATTTACGTCGACGCTATTGATCGCGGCCGAAGCAAGGCGCAGATCCTGCATCACTGTCAATCCGTGCCGGAATGTCTTCACGGAGTTTATTTCGACAGATTGCTCGTTTTTGTAGACGACGTCGGACAGGAGAGCTTCGAGATTAGTTCCGTTGAAATTGTTTTCGATGATTATTTTGCCGGTGACTTCGAGGGATTTGAAGTTTATGTCACTGGTTATGTTGTTTGAATCAAATAGGGTAGGTTTTGAAAGGGGTGGAGAGTGTAATCCAATTATTTCACCATCCAACTGTGAAAATGTATAAAAAAAATTAAAATTTATGGGAATTGAATTTTCTGTGTGAAATACCTGAAGACCAATTGTAACATCCAAACTTGCAAAAGACATTTTACCAGAAATTGTTTGTGGTTTAGATAATGTAACAACATCATTGATGTCAATTTCATTGATAAATCCACGAGTAGTCAATTCACCAACCACAACGTTATTAAATATTTTTTCTCCTTCAAAAACAACAAAAATTACATTAAAAATCAAAAAAATCAAAATTAAATTTTTACTCACCTGTAATATGAGTAAAATCATTCGATTTACTGAATACATAGTCCTCTGGATATTTCAATTTATTTAAAAACTCAGTTGTTGAATCATTTTTTATAATAACATTCTAAAAATAAAAAATATTTATTAGTTTCTGTTTTAGGTTTATTAAAGTTTTATAAATACTTACGCCTTCTATTCGAGTTAAATTCGGTATAAAAGCATTAATATTCTTCATACACAAACTTTTTAAAGTTTGATTGAAATTTTCTCCATTTATATTCTCCACACTAAGATTTCCAGGTAAATAAATTTCGTCAAACATTACAGTTTCCAACGAAGGATTATCTTCAACAATGACATCTTTATAATTATGATGGATAGGAAACTTGTTGATTCTGTCTGTATTCAAAGCTTGGCGAATATTCAAAGATTCAAATTCAAGTGATCCTGAAATAACAATAAAGAATGTAACATATTAATCAATATAAACTTGATTATTTTACCATTAAATTGATTTTCACTAGGAATATAAACTATTTCTTCCTGAAGATTCATATTATCAACTTGTTGAGTGTCTATATTTCCTTCAACAATGACCTCTCCATTCAAAACTATATCACCTTGTAATATTAAAGGTTCTGATTTAAACAATAAAGCTTCTGATGGTATTTCATTAACAGAATCAAATTCAATCTCATCTGTGCGTAGATTAGTAAATGTTTTGTGACCTGATAACGGCTGTTCGTTTTGTATGTGGTAGATATCTGCGGTAATTTTATCTGTCGGAGCACCGTTGAAGGAATCGGTAGTAACGAATTGAATATTACTGGGACTTTGGACTTCAACCAAACCATTGAGGATTAAGGTGTCGTACTGGGTACGACCTGGTTCGAAAGAAGGTATTTTTGGAAGGTCTCTCATCATTTCGTTGATGGTTTCTTGAAGCGCTGATACTCTGGCTGTGATGTCGTCCATGTTTAATGATGTCATGGGTGCTGATTGAGTGAGAATTTGATCTTTTTGAGCTTGTTGGGCAGCCTGGGCAGATGGTGCAGCCTGGAGCTTTTCTTTTTCTTGTGGAAGAACTTTTTTCTGTGGAAAATTCTCTGCTTCAGCCATTTTTTCTTTGAGATTTTTGATTTTTTCCTTTAAAAACACACAAAAAGTTTAAAAATGATTTTTAATTTAATGTGGTATTAAATTACTTCAATTCTTTTCTTGTGATCTTCATACGCAATCATTTTTTCCTCCAAAGGACTTTTCAGCTCTTTCATCTCAGTGTGAACCACAAACAATCCGGAAGTTTTCTGATACCTCGGAACTAAAAACCCTAAAGTATCGTTAACTGTAATAAAAGTCGATCCTTTGATTCCTTTCTTATCATCGTCTTCTTCCACCAAACAATTGAGACCATTCGATACTTCTCCGTAGTAATCACAGGTCATCTCCTCGTGCAACACAAAACGTCCGCCATGATGGATTATCACTTGAATAGCATGCGATTTGTGCGTGTTGAAGTCAAGCAATCTTTCAGCAATTAACACTTCTTCATCTCGGTAGGCACTTATCGGAATGGCCAACCAAAAATCAATTCCATGCAGATTTGCATTATCGACATTTTGTTTAGTGAAATAACCATGTTTCTGACTTGGTTTATTAACGAATTTATATATACCAGCCGCATAACCATCGATTGCAATATATGATTGGAAAGCAACTTTGAAACTGGTCACAAAAGTTACGTGACCAACTGAGAAATTGTAACAGTTTACAAAATGCGTGTTTTGGTCTTCAAGGGAGAAGATGCGCAGTTTGTCATTTTGTGGAATTGAGAGATACGTTTTTGTACCGTGTGTTGTGAGTGCGGTTGAATTCGTTGGAGAATCCAAATGTATAGCTTGTTTTAACCTTTTAAGAGTTAATTTGGAAATTAAAGATTACAAAAATTTAATTTGTCATAAATTAAGCATACCAAAAGTCGTTGTGCTGACCCAAATGAAACTGATACCAATCGGCGGTTGTGTAATTAGTGTATCTGTCGCTGGCGATCAGAATATTGTACTTGTCGCCGTCGTCGACCAATTTAAATACGTTTAAGTGCGTGATTTTCTTTCCCAGCGGCCAATTCCATATTTTTATCTATAAAATTCAGGAAAATTAAAATGTGCAAGTGTCGCCATCTTTAATCATGAATTATTGACACGCTGAAGTGCATTATAGACATTTTTCATTTCTTTGAATTAAAATTAAGAATATTTTTAATTTAAAATTAAGAAACAAGAAAGTAGAATTGCCTAATCAAGTAATATTTGGTGTTTAATCAAAATTTATCCAAAAATATCCAATAATAGCCAATAAATTGTATTAATAATCCATAATCATTAATGAACTTGGTACTCACTAATTTATTATTGGAATCCAAGCGGAACCAAAGTAAATCAACAGAGTTGTTCGAATGTTGCGCATCGACGGCGACCACAGCGATGATTTCACTTTTCGCGGCGTCCCTCTTCCAATATTTGAAGATGGCCGCGTCGTAAATGGTTGCATTCATCGCTGCAAATAAAAAGTTGTAAAGTTACACATTTATTGCAACATAAAGCACGTATATATTTAATTTAATAACTACACGAGTTTAACCAATTAGTTTCAACCGACGTAAATAGCAAAGCAATTACGTTAAATACCCAAGAAATAATTATTGTCCAAGTTGTGAAATAACGATGAATAAATTTCGATGTTGGCGTCAAAATTTGAACGTAAATTGTCTTGTAATGAATTCAAATTTTATGCATTGCTGTACTTACGCGTGTGCGTTTCGTTGGTCGCGAAACTTTCGCCGATCTTATCGACTTGCAGAATGGTCACGCCGTTCGCCGTCAGGCCCAACGCGATGCTCTTGTTCTTCAGCGACAAGCTACGCCATTCCAGAACGTGTTCCTGTGTTTTGAAACTGTCCACCGCGTCCACTTTATTGATATGCAACTCTAAGAGTCATAAATATTACATAATCATTGAAAATTGATAAAGAAATTCAATTAAATCATACCTCGGCGATTACCATGACCACTATCAAATTGATACGAGTACCAAAGACCTCCCTGAATCGAAACTCCCACAAACGAATAAAGCAACAACGACATTAAATAATTACGACACATGTTTATAAATTATAACATTTTCTGCCGATCACACGATGTACAAGAACCAAATCCGCACGTGGATTCAACGAAATTTTACAGAAACGTGAATTGCGATAAGATAAAGACGAAATAATATTCCTGCGCACTGGCATTGTTTATTTTTATATAAAACATGTACTGGGTGTTACCAAAAACAGTATAAACATAACAATTACAACAAATTTATTTACATTTCTTGATAAACCCTAGCATATTTGGAATTTGAAGAAAAAGTATAAAAATAAATATGTATTGAGCAATTTCGTAGCTAACTAAAGGCGCCTTAATGAGATATTGGACCACAACCGGTTATCCCATTTCACCACAAATTTAAATAACAATAACTAACTTAAATGTTTTCTTATGGAACATTCACAGAGAAGAATCTCTTTGGATCACCAACCTTCGGCTGGAATCGCAGATTCACACGCTTTCCTTTTTGATTGTCAATGTCAAAGAATGAATTCCAATCAAGAAGATAATAAAAGCCTGTCTTTTTCGGTGCTTCTGTTGTTGTTGTTTCCACAGCGGCTGCTTCAGATGTAGAATCTGAATTACCACCGAAAGAATCTTCTAGTAATGCTAAAGATGGATTAATAGGCGCGGTGGATTTTTCAGTTGTAGATGTTTGACGTTTTACTTCATTCTTTAACAGACCAACATCGTAATCCAATGGGTTTGGACCTTCTTGTTGATCCAGAGGAACATTGAATGAGTTTACTAAGTCTTTCAGGCCATCAAGGTCGATATGTTTCAGGTCCTCCTCACTTGCAGTTCCATTGAGTTTCTCAAACTGTTTTATTACACCCATAAGTTGATTTAACCGATTAATTTCGTCCTGGGTAGCGTATTCTGTTCCGGAAGTTGCAGGGTTAAAAACATGATCAGGTTTTTTTGTTGATTGTTCTTTAGGTCTACTTTGTTCGGTTTGTTGATCGTCACTTTGAGGTTTTGAAGGGTCTATCTTAATAGGAAATCCGATATCAGCAATGATATCCTTGAATTTATCCGGGATGACGTCTAAATTTGGTTGGATAGGGTTGGTTTTGAGTTCGTTTTGTGGCTTGGACATTGAAATTGCTTTCTGTTCTCTGTTGTTACTTTGTGGTTTATTTTATCTACCAGACCAAATTTAGCTAGGAAATCTTCCATGTCTTCATTGGGGTTTGAGTTGGAACCAGCTGGTAACGGTTTAAAGCTACTGTATGAATCGGGGCTTATTACTGAACTGGGCTCCATGAATATTTCAACTTTGGGTGTAGTTGTTTTATCTTTATTGGGATCCGGAATCAATCCAAATGTCATAAGTAAATCCTTCATTTCCGGTGTGAGGTTGTTGGCAACCTGCATGACATCAGGTTCGGATGTGGTGCTTGTTGTAGTGGTGGTTGTAGTCTGAACACCGAGGGAAGCAAATAATAATTTTAGTTTATCCTGTTCAGAAAGTTGTTCAGGAACTGGGTTGTCATTAAATGTGGCTGGAGCTTCAGTAGGAGATTGTTTGATCAAAATGTCCAAACTCTTAAGGACTTCTTTAAAATCTTCGGGGATCTGAACTTCATCAACCATCATTGGTTGAATTGGAGCTTCAGGTACTGATGTAGTGGTAGTAGTACGCGGAGGAATGTATCTTGGAGTTGTTGTTGTTGAAGTTGTTGCAGGTCTGTTTGGAATTGGTTGGAATTGAACTACAGATGGTTTTCCAGGCATAGGTTGAAACGAAGGTGGGTCAATGATATTGATACCTTGATTAGGCATAAATTCAAAGGGTTTTATTGTTGTGGTTGTTGTTGTAGTGGTGGTAGTTGGTTTCCTAGTAGCTTTCCTCTTTCTGGTAGTTCTTGGAACTTCAGTTGTTGTTGTGGTTGTTGTAGTTGTACTTGGAGCCAATTCTAAAATTTCTTGTTTATGATTATGCGGTAACTTTGTTGTCTTTCGCCCTCTGTTGATAAACCTTGTAAAAGGGTTCTCTGTAGTTGTTCTTTGCTTCTGTACAACATCAGTATTATGTTGCTGCTTCTGTTGTTGAAACTCTTCCTGATCATTGACTTTTGTTGATTCACTCACAACACTAGCTTCGGTAGTTGGAACTTTCGCAATTTTAACTCCTTGATTGTTTTCATAGTTAGACTGATATGGTTTCTTCGTAGGTCTTCGTTTTTTCTGAGGAACTTCCGGCTTAGTGGTAATTCTTTCATCATCACTATCCTCTACTAGATGTGTCATTGGTGGTTTCGTGTATAAAGACTGCACATCTCCATTCTGTGCACTATCCGCGGAATATGGTAACACTACCATGATAGCTTTAGGATCTCTTACTAACCCTTTCTGAACATCAGTTCTTGTTAAATTTTCAATGATATCCAATATCTCGCCACGTGTCAAACGTGGCAGTGACGGATCTGAATTTAGCAAACCTTCGACCTCTTTGATGGTAGCGTCGACATCTTGAAGCCGGGCACCGTTCGCGTTTACATTGTTTCCGCCAGCCGGCGACGTGTCGAAGGCTCTGCGTGCCGGTATCGGCACCGGCGAGGCGTTAATTGGCCGCGAGTCAAAGATACACGCGACCAGCGTCGCCATGAGAAAAAACTGCAACAGAAAAAGTGGCGTTACCGTTAAATGTGATAAATTTGCTGGAAATATTCCAGCGATTCACGCAATTAAAAAAAGCAACAATTTTGTACAGTTTTTCTCAGTTGATTAGGCAAACTTAAAGGTTTCAGAGTTGTTCAAAATGCTTCCAAGTTCATTGGACTTTCTATTCTATGAAAAGAAGACACCACAACCACAACAACATGTCATGCATTCGTTTGTTTTCGAAGAACGAAGGTGTGCACTTTCTCTTTCACGAATGAAACTTTGCGTCATTCAATAAGCAAGATGCATCGCGTAAATATTATAAAAATTACTATAATATATAGTTTATTACAGCAAGTAGTCCAACAACGAACTCAAGTAAAGCAAATAATCGTAGATGTCAAATCAATTTGTGCGTTTGCGTTCGCGTTCCAGGTGTTGGAAGCATTTGAAGAATGAACGCTTCGTGCACGTTGACATAGCGGTTAATTAAATGATTCAATGGTGCTGTATGTTGTTATGTGATGTGTTTTCGACGTTTTCAAGTTCTTTAGTTCTCTGGGTTACCGAGTCATAAACCTACATCTAAAATTGACCAAGATGAAAACTCTTTAAACGCCACAAATAAGTATTTTGTACGAAATTACAATTTGTATTGCTTTAATCTTTTATCACGTAAAAATCAAACTTTCTAATGATTTGATCATAGTTTGAAATGGTTTAAAACGCACGGAATTATGCAAATTATAAATATGAACAGAAGGGCGTGAGCAAAATGCAAAAGTAAAAGTCACTGCTTTGCAAACGTCGTTATTAAATCGAAGTATCAATTACTGAATGCATTAGAATATGTTTCTGTGTGTTGGAGTTGATATTGAAGGTTGCACATTCATTTCATCATAATTTCTGCAGCAACAAACAAGAAATAAGAACTTAGATTTCAATTATGATTTATTGCGTGAATAAAAATAAGTTTTTAATTCTTTTTGAAACATTTATAACGGATATTTAATAGTCGATTGATTGACACCAATTTTTTAAATTAATTTCTTACCTGTTTGATGTGAAATCCCATTTTGAAGTTTTTCTTTTATTTCACAATACTTTCAAACACTTTATTTCAAAATCAGTTGATGTTTAACAAGTTGAATATTGTTTACATGACATAAGTGTACAAACAATGTCTTTGGATTGAGATATCGATCGCGTTCGTGCCGTTTGAATTTCTTTTTCCGACTGAAAGTACTCACCTGGTTATAAACTAATATGCTTCCAGTCCCCACCTGCGTTAAGTGAAGAATTCGCCGCGTCCACGAGTAGCCGGTAGTTTCACCTTCTTCTTCGGCTCTGGGCTTGATTGCATGATCCCCTCTTGCGAGTGTTAATTATATTTACATTTACACGCTGCTTGTGGTAGTGTGTCTACGCGTGCTAATGTTATACCAGACGAATAAACTTGAACTACTTTTTAATTGAAGATTTTTTCTGCGCTCTTTGGCAACGCGAGAGAAGTTATGAATAAAAACATTATTAGATAAGTTTGAATGAAGATTTATGAAGGTTTTAATGTGAAATATTTTTTATTGTTTGTATTTGTTTATGTATATATTATATATTATTTAATTTATAATGCCTTTTAGTGGAATAAATAACTGTTTGCATCTTTGATTGTTTTAGGTTTATGTAAAACGTTATTACATAAAAAATAAATAATATGAATACAAATATGAAGACAAAATACAATAAATCATAAATTATACATCTACAAACTATTTGTTATTATTTGTAACAGTGATTTTGTTATATAACACTTTAAAACGTAAAAAAATCGTCAAATGAAGTGAATAACATCAAATCAGTTAAATTTCGTTGGTATACTTTAAAATTTTATTGATAGTATTACCAAAAATAACTAATAATTAAATGAAAGTTGATCCGTATTGGATATTCTTCCGTGCTGTTGAAAGTTTTATATAATATCCTTTAAATATTAACTTTGGAACAAGTTTCCCAAAACTTTAAATCGTCAAACAGTGTTACAAGTTAGGCTACCAAAAATACACCTCGTTTATTTCATATTTTCGGTTTCTACTTTATATTTACAACTCAATCTCCCGCAACTAAATGATTTGTATATGTTAAATTTAATAAACTATTTAACTAGCTTTAAAACTACCAAATTAATAGTTCATTTTATATTGTAAACAATCTGATAATACATTTTGCTGATTCAACTTTCGTTTTGTTTTGCAAGTTAGATAGTTCGTGCGCATGCGTGCAATACGCGCACTCGCTGGCGCAATTCTCCGTTTGTCGCCTGTCGCGTCACATGACCCGCCGTTGTTCCCGTGACCAAAATTGACGGAAAATTCAAATATCCACGAGCGGAGCGAGTCGAAATCGGCGGCCAGTCGACAACGAAATGGACATGCTTGATCCGTTGGACATCAGGTATGTCTCACGACCTCCTTCAACCCCCAATCGTCAAACACAATCGTACGTGGTTATGTAACTTTGCTGTTGCTGGTGTTACTGCTAGTTAGTTGATCCCGATCGCGACAATCGCAAGGTCATAACAATGTTGTGATTGATAAGCGAGCGCTGCACTCAAGTGCCCTTTATGCACATCATTTAATTCAGTTCTAAAGTAACATCAGTTAACAAAACTCGACATGAATCAAGATTTTATTTACAATTGTTTTAACTGCTTTGTATTGCAGTCATGAAGAACATGATAACAAGGCAATATTGCAACAGAGCCTTTCGATGGAAGACCACAGTATAGGAAGTGATGATGTTGATGATCCACATGTAGAACACCTTTCCCCACAGACTCTTCTGGAGACACCTGATGATGATGTGCAATATTCATTTAGAACACCAGAAGGTAAATAAACAACTATTATGAATATATTTGTACTGAAATTTAAATATTTATATTTATTAGGGACAGTAACATATGGAGTATTAAAAGTTGAGGAGGAAACTGTTCCTCAGCTGGCAATACCAACATTTACAAGTGCATCAGTGCCACAACTTGTCACATCCAACATCAATGGTCAACTATATGTGATAAGCAACGCTTCAGACGTTTTTGTCAGTCATCAGGCGACGACAGGAACGCGACCAATCGTGCCGAGGGCTACAATGGTGGAGTCTACACCAGTTGTGCCTGTTACAAGCAATAAAAAAGTTAAAGTAAATTATAAACTAAACATTTTCATATATAAATATTAAAGATTTATATTTTTTAGAGGGACGAACGTCGAAGAGCAACCCACAATGAAGTGGAGCGTCGTCGGCGTGATAAAATTAACAATTGGATCAACAAGTTAGCAAAGATCATCCCCGAGACGTCAGGCGAGATGAAGAGCAATGGCCACTACGATGGCCAATCGAAAGGCGGTATTCTTGCCAAGGCGTGCGAATACATCGCAGAATTACGCGCATCACAGCGTTTGCTGGAAGAAACCGAAGTGGAGCGGAAACGTTTGGAAGACGCGCTGGAGGATGCGAAGCGGAAAAACGCCAGTCTCGATATGGAGAATAAGGCGCTGCGAGAATTACTGCAACAGCACGGCGTGCAGCTGCTCGACGAATCGTCATAGCTTGAGACGTGGAATTTTAACATTTTAAGGACAATTGGAGTGTGAAGGAGCCATAAACTGGGTGAGATTTGAGTAAGTACATTAACATGATGTATATAAATCAAAAAAGAGCACCTAGTGTTGAATTTTACATTAAAATTCAGCAAAATGCTGCGACGATATGATATCGCCCAAATCATTTATGTATATGAATTTGTTAGCTATGCGTTGGTCGAAGGTGGCGTGATGTCACCTCGATTTTGTATAAATTGTGGTTGCTTCGATTGGGATGACTTCACCCCGATTTGTACTAAATCTATCTGTCATTTGTACAAGTCTAACTCACATGTATTATTTCGTGAGGATGATCATTTTACGTTATATTCTACATATTAGGATGTTATTTTGTTATTTTTATTTACACACAACGATTGGTTAATATAAATGTAATTACTTTTAAACTGTTCTTTTTTCTGGCCTATAAATCATAAGAATTACTACTGTTGAGGCGTAGGAAGTAAAATTTGACTACTACTACCAGTAAATGAGAAAAATTTCATCTACTTTGATATTAATTCAATCAATTTAGTGCCGCTAGTGACATATCATCAAACTACAATTTTTTTCAGCAAATTTTAAATTCAACAGGACAAAAAACATAATTTCTTGTTTTCATATGAGAAGCATATAGAAATTTATCTAAAAAAACGCGCGTACTCTAAAAGACTACTCCTCAAGTACTAAAATACCGAGCATTGTAAACATTGTGTGTAATTTATGTAATTTTTTTATTATTTGAAAAACTTATCTTTATCTACAAAGTCAAGATGCCGGCCTTGATGGCTTTGCGCTCCTTGGCTTTCACCTGAGCAGCGATGCGGTCAAGATCACGACGGCCCTGCTGCGTGAGCTTGCGCCCACCATCGGGGGTCTTCTCGATAAGCTTAAGAGCCTCCAGGCTCTGCAGGCACTTACGCGCAACACCACCGGCGGAGCGGCAGAAATGCGATGGATGTGTGCCCTTGCGCTGGCGTGTGCCAAAGATCTTTGTCACGGAGCCGACACCAATTGGTGAGCGAATGTAAATGTGGCGGATGACGGCCGCACAACGCACGTAGTACCAATCGGGGTCGTACGGTGCCAACTCCTTGGCGCGCGACGTCTTCACAATGTCAACCCATTCCGGTACGCGCAGTTTTCCGGTTCTAAAACAAATCGAAAGTTAAGTGTGCTGTGCGAAATTGACAAAGTGGGGCTTGACATTCAAACAAAACCTGCCAGAAACAAATTTCTAGTATTTCACGCACACATCACTTCAAGAGTTATAAGTTAATATAAATTTACGATTAATCTAAACTAATAAGAAAGATGTTCCGACCACAGATGCAACCTGGCGGAGGTGGTGGAGTTGGTTGGCCAGGTGGTTCAAATATGATGGGTATGGGAGGACCGCCCGGAAGCATGCCTACAATAGGTATGCCCGGCCCGATGGGGATGCCACCGGGAGGTATGTGTATGCCGCCGCCACCGCCGGGGCAAAACATGGGCATGCCACCGACTGGGATGATGCCGTCGCAAAGCCCACCACAACTGCATGGACTGCAGCCAATGCAGGCAAGTAATTGTCAATGTGCCCCGGGACCTTGGGGCCCACGACCATCAACAGGACCCCAACAATGGCAACCCAATCAGCCTCAATCAATGATGGTGCAGCCATCAATGGTGGGCATGAATTACAACTTTACTGGGCCACCACAACAAATGCCGGGAGTGTGCCAATCCAGTTGTACAAGCAACAATGCATATTATATGCAGCAACAGCAACAACCCCAACAGCAGCAGCAACAACAAGTACAGCAGCAACAGCAGATTCAACAAGGGCAGCTTCAAATGCAACAAAATGGGATGACTCCTAACGGAATGAATGCGGCTTGCAATCAACAATCTATGTATATGAGCAGCTCAGGTAAAAAGTTAGGAAGAAAGAAGTAAAGAAGCCCACAATTTTACAGGTAAATAAAAATTGAGGTTTATAAAGATGTATGGTAAAAAAAACAAATGATAAAAACTTACTTTTTGAGGAAGGACGAAAACGCCTTCACAAATTTGGCTTGATCAACGTCTTTTAGTGTAACCGACGGCATTGTGTCTGTAAAATATAAAAAAATTACATTACACACCATGTGAGGAACGCATCTGCGTGCAATTTCGAGGTTAACAAATTCCAAAACTTTTTCACTCAAAAATAGTAACTCGCAACGCAGAAAAACTCTCCTACACTTGTTTCACAAACAGATTTACTTGTTACCTTTTTAATTTAAGTGAAAACTTAGTAAAATTCGTTAAACCAGACGATTTATTCCAGTAAACATTACACGTACCTGTCAACCCGACTACGGATCAGAACGGAAAAGGAAAGGACGCCATTTTGCAGCCGTAACGTTTGTGTGAGGGCGCCACGCACAACCCGCCTGATTCGAATTTTTGAATATACCGGATGCTCGAAATCAAAATAACTCGTGATAATTCGACCGTGTGGAATATTTTGTGTCAATTGTACGTAAAATAATAATACATACGTGAAGTAAAACTAAAACATTGCGTGTATAATATTTATTTAATATTTCACAAAGCATCTTGAATCTTTTTTGATTTCTTTTCTGGTTTCATGCGTTTAACACGTTTTTTTAATAGTTTTTCTTCTTCCTCATCGGGATCCAGGCCTTCAAGGATCCACTTCTTCTTCAAATTAATCATTTTCTTCTCGTAGAAGTCTTTCTCGTCTAGTTTTATGTGTGCTTCACCTTTGGAGACGGATATTTGAGTAAAAATCTTCCCTACTTCATCATCTGCACAAAAAATATAAAAATCAGTATTATAATATCATGTGTTGATAATCAAACGTACCATTAACTTTGAACTCAGTCAATTTCGTGTTAATACAAGCCTCAATCGCTTGTAATTGTTCAATGTCAAAAGGACTAATCAATGTAATGGCTTTTCCTCCGCGTCCTGCACGCGCTGTACGACCAACTCTATGAATATATTCCTTTGGCACTTTCGGAACCAAATGGTTAATAACTAATTGAACTGTTGGAATGTCTAACCCTCTGCTTGCTACATCGGTGGCAATCAATATCTTCACATTGTTTGATTTAAACTTTGCAAGTGCTGCAAGTCGTTGAGTTTGTGGAATCATTGCGTGCAGTGCGACGTTTTCGAAACCCACATCGTTCAACATCATAGACAGAATTTGACACTTCTTGCAACTCTCAGTGAATACCATAATGTTTCCTCTTTCGTTTGATTGTCGGTATGTGCGGATAACTTCAACTAAGTACGCGTCTCTAACGTCTTTTGGACACAGAACATAATTTTGATCAAGTTGCTCAACTGTGGCAACTTCAGCAGGATCCTCATACAGAAACACTTCTTTACCGGTAGCTGATTTAAGTTTTTCCAATGTGTCTGTTATTGTTGCTGAAAAAATAGGTTTTGGCGAGTTTTGGGGAGTTCTTTGAAAATTGCCTTGATTTGATCATCAAAATGTCCGCCAAGAAGTCTGTCAGCTTCATCTAAGACTAAAAACAATAGAAATTAGTAAAATAGTTAAGTATTAATGCCATTTGCTCATAAATGCAAAATAGTTTAAGATTTTTTAAGTAATTTACTAGAAATCTTATATAATTCTCACCTAAAAATTGTAATTTACTCAATGTAAAAGTATTACAACTATTCAAGTGATCAACAAGTCTTCCTGGAGTAGCAACCACAACATGGGGCAATGTAGCAAGTTCTTTTCCTTGTTTGATCATATCCATTCCACCAACAATCACACAATGTCTCAAATTCATAGGCTTGCCAATCACTGCAAATTGATCAGCAATTTGGTAAGCCAACTCTCTTGTTGGAGTAAGAACAAGGGCAAATATTCCATATGGATCCTCACAGAGTTTCTGTAATATTGGTAAGGCAAAAGCCAGTGTTTTGCCACTGCCTGTCTTTGCTGCTCCAATCACATCTTTACCAGCAAGAATGTTCGGAATGCAGTTTGTTTGGATGGGTGTTGGTTTTGTAACACCTAAAATATAACAATAATCATATGAAAACACTATTAAATTACTCATTTAAACAATAAAATTAAAGAGGTTAAAGTAAATTGAATAATTTTTACTTAAATTAACAAGAAATTCAATACATACCAATAGAATTACATTGTCGAGTGATCCAAGGATTTAGTTTAAGTTGATTAAAAGTAGTGTCACTCATTTTGTTTATATTTATTCAATTAATAACAATATTATTGTTCCACAAAACGTGTTTTCAACAAAAATAGTTGCATTGAGAACTGCGCGTGCGTGATCACCGTCAAACGACACCCCCACTAGCACGTGCTCCAGACCTCTGATTAACTTATCATTTTTATCAAGGCGAGATGCGTAAATACTGGAATAATATGTATGTTAAAAATTAGTTTACTGAATAAGTAGTGATTGTTGTGCAGTGTACTATGCACCTATGTTAATTTGTGTGTGTTGCAATGGAAAAAGACGAACAATTTCTGCATGGATACTTTGTTTTTGTGTCACAGCTGTGTTTTGATAAAGCAAAAGAGCATGTGGTAAGAATTAAGAGTTACAGGTGACAACGGAATTAATTGATTATTTAATCGTAGGAAAAGGAAAAGGAGCAACAATCAATCTATGATACTGCTACATGGAATGCCCTCCTTCATCAGTTATTGCAAATTGCTTTAGCTGAAAAATCATACATGGAAATTGGATTCCTACAGAATAAGAATAAAGGATTTCTTAGAAAAGATGTAACATTAACAATATCCTAGTTATAAGCTTAAAATTAGAATATTATAATTGATTTATTGTAGAATTCATTGCAAGCAGTCTATGACACAATTAACTTTGACTTGAAACGAATTGAAGAGCTGTGCAAGAATAATGGATGTGATAAAAGGGTGCAGAATCATTGTCTTAACATTGAAGAGTTTCTGTCTGCCAGATCCAAGTTAATGCATTTGTATCCTTTTAATAATATATTCAAAGATTTTTTAATATTGTAAGTATTTGTGGAAAATATTTTCCTTAAATTTGTTTAGTTATGAGCAAATATTTTTGTGCAACACATCCAAGACAAAGTTCAATGAATTCCTACAAAACATTGAGCTGTTAACCCAAAGAAGTGTTTTGCAATTTGCTGACATTAGCTTAACACCAATGAAAGCTGCTTTCAGTTTAGAATGTGCCATCTTGGAGCAATTATTTCGCTCACTGATGGAATTACAAAGATTGCAGTTTTTGCCATCTTTGGCTCATATTCATGGTGCTCATACAAGACTGCAGGCATGGGAGGCTACAAAAATTAAAAACCGCGAGGTAAATCACTTAATTTGTTCATTTGTGTATAAATTTTTAATGTTGTTTTACATTTAGGTTCGTAAATTGGGTTTTATTAAAACAAATTACTTACCTGCTCTATTCCAATGGCATTTAAACTTCAAGGCTGCTGTTCTGAGCAAATTCAGTTTGTTCTTCCATGATACTTTGTCTTCCCAAACTGCCTCGAATGAAATGAGGCAGTTATGTGCTAAATTACAGTATGACTACTACAATAAGTGAGTTTTTCCTCAAGATGTGTTTTGATGTGATGGATTATATGGATTCTGTTGTAGAATGCAACAATTCCAGAAGCGATATGATGCGGGTGCTGTTTTACTTCTTTCTGATAACCAAGTTAGTTGTGATACTACAGCATATGATTGTTTTCCAATTATTGTATCATGTCCACCTGTAAGTAGAGTCTACCATAATATTATTAATTGTCAATTGCAGTCTTTTTACTTTATATGCAACTTTGTAGCGGCCATCATCGCAAGTTGATTTAATCCTAAAAATGATAATGGATGTGCCGGCGGAGGTAACATCCTCCGATGTGATTTACAAATACAGTTCGCAAGAGAAGCTCACATGCATTTACAGCGTCGTCGAACCAAACATTTACCTCATATGTTTATTCGATGGCAAGAAAACGGAAAAAGACGCGCATATTAGTAACTTTCTCAACGAAACCTGCCAAAATTTACGCTGCACGAAAGTTTTTGCTAGCTTAAAAACTCTTTCTAAATAAATTTTATCCGTACTATATTTTATACATTTGGAATTTTCTAGATCAAATGTGTTTCATTTGTTTTTATATTTGACATTGTGTAATCAAGTAGGCTTTGCAGAAAATAAATTTTGACGTTTGTTTAGTACAAAAAGTGGTCAAAAAAGTTCGTCTTGTTGGGGAAATCAAAAAAATCCAAGCAAAAATGTCGCGTTTGTTAAAACTCTCACAGCTTCGATTTTATCGTACTGGATCGACCGCGCTGCTGCAGAAGGTCTCCGAGAAAGCGATTCCAACATCTACTGATCAGGCATTTGATCCCAACGCCGCTGGTAATTAATAATTACTTATAATAACTTTAGATATTAATGTAGTGATGAATTAATTACCTTCAGAAACAGAAATTAAGACTTCTGACAATGTATCAGCGTTTGCTAATACCAATATGGGTAAAGCATACAATGCGCTTCCCATGCAAGCTGAAAGCAGGCTTCCGGCTGCTGATGAAATCAGACGTGCTGCTTCGTTCGATGAAGTACCTGGGCCGGAAGTTTTGAGGAAGGTTGCAAGGGCTTGGAGCTACGTACCGATAGTTGGAAATCACGTCACAGCTCGTACACTGCAATATGTGCTCAGCGCAAGTAAAATCTTTGGTAATATTTGCGAATATTTAAAATAATATAACAAAAAATAATAAAAAGTATATTTAAAGGCAGCCAATTGAGCTGGGGAAATAATATGGCGATTTTCCGGTATCTGCTGAACGAGTACGGACCAATCGTAAGACTGCATGGCCCCTTCGGGGGAGACGTGGTGATTCTGAGCAGAGCGGAACATGCTACGGCTGTATTTGACAGTGACGGACCTTATCCAGTCAGATCTAGCTTGGATTGCATCGAGAAATATCGTTTACATCATCGAAAGTATAAAAATGCCGGCCCGTTTGTCATGTATGCATAGTTATCATGTTTTATGTCGGCCATTTTGAAAATCTTACTTGGACTTTACTAGGCATGGTCCTAAATGGGAGAAAATGCGTCAAAACATTGAACCAGCTTTAAAACTTTCTGTTGAACATCAATGTCTTCGTATATCAAAGACTGCCGATGAGTTTATTGAGCGTTTGGTAGCGATCCGCAACCAGCAACTGGAAGTTCCACCAACTTTTCTTACCGAGCTGCAAAAATGGAGCATTGAGTGTCTCTGCAGCATTACATTTAACAAAAGTTTTGGTTTCCTTGATCCACGAGGCTTGAGTGCGACTTCGGACAATGCTGTTCTCTTGAATGCAATTACCGAAGCGACAGGCGCCATTAAACGCTGTGAGTTTGGCTTCCATCTGTGGAAATTTGTCGAAACACCAGCATGGAAGAAATTGGTGCTTCATTGTGATACAATCGATCACATCCTTGGATCTAATCTTCGAAAGGCTCAACAATCATTACGCGAAAGACAGGATAAGGGAATGGTCACTGATGAGAAGAATATTTCGCTCATTGACTATTTTCTATTGAAGGAATCAATGAATAGCGATGATATCTTAACTGTGTTGCTTGATATGGCACTGTTGGGAGTCAACATGACTGCATACACCGCTGGTTTCTTAATGTATCACCTATCAAGGAACCAGCGCGCACAGCACATGTTGTATAGTGAAATTAAATCACTACCTGCGGATTTAACTCGCGAGCATCTAAAGGATCTTTCCTATTTGAAAGCGTGCTTGTTTGAAAGTCTGCGCTTGAAGCCTCCGATGCCGATTTTAAATCGCGTTTTGAACAAGGATGTGATGATTTACGGATATAAAATTCCCAAAGGTGACATTTAACATAAGCAATACTTTGTATAAAACCATGGCAACCATTTTGTTGTTTTGCAGGGACATTCGTGTTGATTGCTACAAATCTCTCCAGTCTGCGCGAAGAACACTTTGAAGATCCTTTGAAGTTTAAGCCGGAACGCTGGTTAGGACTGGGCAATAAAGAAATGAGTAGTGTCGCGACGATGCCATTTGGACACGGACCGAAGAATTGTATAGCGAAGGAATTGGCCGAGACACAGATTTATTACCTTATTGTAAAGGTAAGAAAAAACAATTCTTATTTAGTGCATGTTTGGGGTGGTGGCTTATATGTTTTCTCTGCATGTTTTACAGGTCTTGCGCAAATTTCGCATCGAATATCACTACGGCGATATCGACAGCAACAACAAGTTACTTTCATCGCCGAGTCGTCCATTGAAGTTCCGTTTTGTCGAACGCGATTAATTCTTGTGTTACAGTTTTAATAATATTCAATTAATAAAATTTAATACTTGAGCAGGCAGGTTATCTTCCACAGCATGTTATATTTCACGGTTTACATTTACAAGTTACATTTTGATTGATCAAGCTAATGTCATATCGTTGCGGAAGTAAAACGTAGCAAACATTACGTACAAAAAATATGCGCCTCCTTCACTTCCGTTCAAAGATTGGTTCAATTATTTGTTTTCCTTGGGGTAAACTATAAACTAGGACGTAATAAATATATTACTTAACTTACAATTTTTATACCTTACACAACTAAAGCTAGATATTAGATATTTACGTTTTGATATACATAAAGAAAAGTCGAAAAAAACATGTAAATATCTCACTGGTCGCTTTGCTTCTTTGCCTCTTTCAGTCGTCGTTGTGTCTTAAGTTGCTTTTCGTTGAGAAAAGCAAAGAAAAACTTACATTTTACAATAAATTAGATTCGTCAGCTGCTGTTGCAAACTTAATGCGGTGCAAGTTTGGCGCAAGTGTGGCCTACATCTAGATTTATCAAAAATATGAGATCATTTGTGTGCTTCCAATAAAAAGCTCTCATTCTCATATTTTGGCATGGATGTAGCAGTCTTTTTTTTGGTTCGTAAAGTGTGTTTTTAGTCTGATTAATATGAATTTACGGTCAAAAATGTACAAAATCTTCAATTGGCCCTTAGAATTACTTAATCAAGTTGAGCATACTTGAGCACTACGTCCTTGTTGATCCAGAAGTCGCAGCGAGAGTAGTTTTGTGCTGGCATCACATCCTGCTCGACGACAAACACCTTAGTGTGCACCTCGGATGAGATCTTCCCATGCCACACAAAGTGGTAGAAGAGTTGTTGAATCGCGGAGAAATAGCGTCGTTGTTCGGGTGTTCGTGGTTCATATCGGCCTAAAATGGCGTCAACATCGGAATCAGCATCGCTTAAATTTTGCTCTCCACGCACTTGCGTCACAACATAAAATGTAGAGTTCGCCATTTGAGTTGAAATAGCGAATAATGGACAGACTACACGGATGTCAGAAACCATTTGAGCAAGACCTTTATATGTTTTCGGATAGAGTGTCAGTGCCTCTTCAGCAAGACTTAAATTACCCAAAAGAGAAGAGCGAACATGATGCGCAACGAGATCCTCAGTCCATTCTTTGTTTTTGTTAAGTAGTTTGTCATTAGCGGCTGAATGAGCAGTGGAACCCAACACAAGTTTGACAGGAAGTCCTTCTTCACTAGCCCAAATGGTAGCAGGGTGTTCAAGAAGTATCTTACCGTCTAAAACAAGCCATTCGTGTTTGTTCTTGGGATCTTCATCTTTGGAAGGTAAATCAGCATTGGGTTGACGCCATGTGTCTTCAACGGCTTTCATCAAGTCACCCGCATCAGCTTTACGCAGACATTCGACATCCTTACAGTTTACTGCAGCGAGGTAGCTTTCATTTTCTTTCTCAGCGTCAGCTAGAAGTTTATTCGGGAATAGAGAACCCCAGAGGTGGCCCAGGCCCTCGCGAACAAAGTATTAGCTTTCTTGATTGTAGACAGAGCAGTTACAAGAGTGGCACCTGCACGATGTCCAAACAAAGTTACTTGCTTGGGATCACCACCAAAATGCTCAATATTTAACTGGATCCACTTCAAAGCTTCGATTATATCGCTCAGTCCGTAGTTTCCGCTTGTGAAAGGATAAACATCTTTACTCAAAATGTCCAAAGCCATGAATCCCAACGCACCCATTCGGAAGTTTGGTCTGACGAATAATACATCCCTAGAACGTGCATATCTTGCAGAAGGACGCATCTTACCAGGTGATCCACCGTTCAAACTCTCGGTGCCAATGAGTACAATCACCGGTAGAGGGGATTCGTAACGCACGTACGGCGTTACAACGTCAATGGTAAGACAATCTTCGGTTCCGGTCAAGGTACCATTGCTATGTATCTGCAAGCACGTTTCGGTCGCATTGTGAGCTTTCATCGTGCCGTTCCAACAATAGTCGATGCTGTTCAAGGGCTGCGCCGGTTTAAAACGTAAATCGCCTAACGGTGGCCGCGCGTACGGAATACCTCTGAATGCGACTGCGCCATCGTTCAATATACCTTCCACTAATCCACAACTGGTGACTGCCTCAACGTACATGCCGTCGCGGATCGGGGCATCGTATACGCGTCGACCGCTGGGGATGATTATCGCGAGAATAATTATAAAGAGCAGCGTGAATCCAAGGAGTGCACTGAGTGCGTAGCGGTATGCTTTCATTTTGTGCCGCCATGTTGGTTCGTCCTCGACTTGTTTCTCAACATCTTTATCTTTATCATCGGCCTTGTCGTCCAGTGGGATAGTTTTCATTTCGTCGGGTTTCGCATCGGCGGTTTTATCGTTGTCATCGAGGGTTTCCATTGAGGCAAGACCGGCCTTTGTTTGGTTTTCCAGGTTTTGCTCGGGTTCTTTTTTGAGCCAGGGAGGACCGTCGTTATTGGAAGGCATAGTTTGTTTATTTTTTCTTTGAAACTTCCTGAGGGTTCATTTGGCTTTTCATCTAAACAAAAGAAAAACAATTTGGGAATGTGTTAAATTGAGCATTGATAAATTCATGAATCTTTTTACCTTCTTCGTTGACAAGTTTTGATTTTCTGAATGGATTAGGAAGCTTTATCCTTGTTGGTTGTGCCTCCTTCTCTTGCTCTACGAGTTCTGTACCTTCCCCAGTCTCTTCATCTGCATCCTAAACATTAAATATTATGTTTATAGTTTTGTATTTTTTAGCTAGTTGTTTAATTACCTTGCACTTTTCTCTGGACTTGCTTCTCGTGAAAAATCCTGGTAGTTGGATGCCACCAGTCGGAATCTTCTTGGGTTTGACCTCTTTGTCTTTAATGTCATCAATTTTAATCTTGCCGGTAGCTTCGGCCTCCTTTTCCTTGCTTTTATCTTTCTCGTTTTCAGTTTCGCTGACGACTGCATCATCTGCCTTGGTGATGTTGTCGTGCGCTTTATTCTCCTCGTTCATCTTTTTTTCACGCTCTTCCATCTCGATGTCTTTCTTATCTTCGTTTGGCGAACTCATCGTGGGCAATTTATCTGAGAGTGATATAATTAACACATCAGCACATTCCAAAAAATATATTAAACATTTAAGAAATGTTCAAACACGTGTAACCGTTGGGATATTAATAAAGTTACAATAAAATAAATACGTTGCATGGAAATTTATTATTTACGACCCAATGTGGGCTTCATTTACATGAAAAAGTAAAGCGGTTCATTCAATTTACGCGTCGTTTGTGCGTGGCGGAGTCGGCGACGTTGATTTAATTCAATTAGAACACAATATTCAACCCTAAAGAGCAATGCAAGTCGACGTCGCTAAAGTGTGAATGAATATCTTTATTTTCGACGTTTTATTCCACGCTCAGTGACAAACGGACACAAAAAAAACTGTGCAAAGATGATGCATCGCAGCATCATAAGTAAATTAAGCGTTTCGCTCGCAAAGACGCACCGCACATCTGCCTGTCGTGTTGCTCAGGAAATTGGAGGGCAAAAAGAAATACAATCGGAAGCTAAATTTACGCCCCAGACGTATTTCTCATCATTTCTTTTTGTATCGGCTTTGTTTATTATTTTCGTAGTGGAATTTATTTTCTTTGATGGGTAATAACGGCTTTTTTGTGCGCTTTCGCCCTGACCGCACGCATAAACACAATAGCCGGCACAGGGCACAACAAAGCTTGGCGTGCCGTATCGATTTTTGTTTGAACTTGCCCGAAATTACGAATACTGCGCGGTTTTATTAAATAACTTTGATATCTTTTTATGTATGTAGTGTATTAAAAGTACATACCTTTAACTGGAGATGCACATCGGCTATAATTGTGTGACCTTCAATCAACGGTCGGCTTTGGATTCGGCCCGTTGCACTGAATGCACGCGCGCGTTTTCCCCAGGTTTGTCTGGTTTGTCTGGACCGAGCGACGCGAACGAGTGAAACGACTGAAGAGCGTTGAAGAACGTACGCTGCGCGCTGTGGGTTAGCGCGGCTAGCGCAAGAAGCACGCGTGTGGCTTGTGTCGCCCCGTTGCTAGCGAATCAGAACACGGCCGGCGAAGAGCTTGCGCTGTTTCACTCAAGCGCGCAACCCCGAGTAATTTAAATGGAGAGATTAGGGGTTATTTAGGGGCTTCTCACCGCAAATGATTTGAGAGGCACCCTAGGAAAACTGGGGTAAGTAGAAAATGTTTATTAGTTTTATTAAAAGATGAAAACCATGGTTTTAACTTTGACTTTCCCAACACAGAAATAATAAACAATTATGTTACAAATTTAGAACAAAGTTAAAAGCTCCATATCATTTAAATGCATGGAAGCATTTCCAAATTTAATGACTAGGTGGCGCCACACTAGCATGCATTAATTGAGTTTTAAACGTGTCGCTTCTAAGTGTATTGAAAACTACAGAATATTTGGTTTCAAATTAATAAGTAAACAATAAAATACTTAAAATACGATATTATACAGTACTAAGTACTGTAAGTAAGTTTTGAGTAAACATTTTACGCTTCTAAATTATTTTGACTCTAGCAAATTTTGTAGATGGCGCTAGTTTGTCAAATTGAAAGTAAGAATATGACCGACAGGTATGTTTGCATTGCAATGTCAGTCAGATTTAATTTTAAATTGAAGGTTCTAGAAATTTAATCACAAGTGATGTTTATTCGGTGTAATACTCGAAAATTACGAAAAACATTTTACGGTTTTATTCTATGATGTAAATTCTATGGTTTTATTCGGTCTTGTCTTGATTTCAGTTAAAAAGCGAAGTTTAGCGATGCGTAATTTGTTGCTGCGCGTCGCCGCCCTACGAGAAGGAAACTTCACTTTGAATTACAAATCAGTCGAATGAATTGAACACGAGTCGCTGCTCCTTGCTTTCGTATTTATCAGATTTTGCTTTACCTGCGAGACTGCCGAGCTACGTTCGCTCGGTTTGTACCGTTTGGGAGTAATGTGACAGAACACGCACGCTACACTCACATATTTTTGCTCTTAACCTTTCAAAAGAGCATGTCAACCAGATTGTTTGTGGAGCGGTTCGAATATTTCTAAAAGCCACGAATGCGAATTGGAGTGCAGATTGCGTCGTGTGGTGTGAAGCAATTTGAAGAATCAGCATGGGGAAAGCCAAGAAAGGGCGCAAGACCGGCAAGGGGGACGACAGGTGAGTGGCGCAACGTGTGCACTTTTCGTGAGCGGTATCTGTGATTACATGATTTATGCAAATGTTTCGCAACTTTTTTTGCTTGTAGCGAGTCCGAAACGGAGGTAACTAAGCCTGAGGTCGTGGAGAAAGTTGATAAGAAAAAAACTAAGCCTGAACCAGTGTAAGTTAATGTTAATTTCGCATTTTCTTCAATAATTCTATGATTATCTTATTTATTATTAGAGCTAAAGCTGCAAGTGATTCTGAAGATGAAATAGCAGAAAAAGTGCAAAAGCAGAAGAAGAAAGATGCGAAGAAAAAGGAGAAGAAAGCAAATTCTGATGATGAGGAAGCTGCAGATGCACCAGTCAGCAAGGTGGCAAAGTCTTTTGCTCTGCTAGGAGTTGATAGTGGGCCAGAATCTGCACCATCAGACAATAATGATCAAAGTGATAGTGAACCAGAAGTTAAAGTTGTTAAAAAGAACACAATGAAAAAGGGTAATAGTGATGAAAGGACTAAAGAACAGGGCAAGAAAGGCAAAAAGGGCAGAAGGAAAAAGGATGACAGTGATGAAGATATAGATAAAGTATTAGCTGAATTGGAAATGGAGTATTCAGGTATGATAAATGATATCCAATAAGAATTTTTTTTTAAATAAAATGATGTTTTTATTAAAGGTGTTAAAGTAGAAGCAACTACTCAAGAACCAGTTGAACCAGAAAAAAAGGGCAAGAAGAAGAAATCTAAGGATGATGGTCAACCCAAGGAAGATGATAAGGAAGAAGAAAAGGAGGCTGATGGTGAGCAAGCTGATGATGAACCATCCTCAACTGTAAAAACGGCTGCACAGAAGAAAAAAGAAAAGAAGCAGCGAGAAAAATTAAAAAAGGCGCAGGCCAAGAAAGATGATACAACTAAACCTGCCAAGGAGGCTTCGCAAGAACCCGATGCTAGTGATGAAAAACCAGTGAAAGTAGAACCTGCAGTCTCTGCTGAAGCAGCAGATGCATCACAAGAAAAACCTGATGAAGCAGAAGCTGCCGATAGTAAAAAGAAGAAGAAAAAGAAGGGTAAGGAAGAGGAAAAGGATGCGAAGGAAGCAAAGAAAGGACCCGGCAAGAAAACGATAGCTGCTATGCAGGAAGCTCTTAAAAAGTTGAAGGAAGACGAAGAGCGATTAAAACGCGAAGAAGAAGAACGAATTAAAAAGGAAGAGGAAGCCGAGGAAGCAAGGTTGGAACAATTACGCTTGGAGCAGGAACGGAAAGATAAGAAAAAGAAGCGCGAGAAAGATCGTAAGGATCGTTTGAAGGCAGAGGGAAATTGTTATCGGCGAAACAAAAAGCTGATCGGGCGAGAGCTCAAGCGTTAATTGAAGCACGGAAGGCTCAGGGTTTGGATCTGCCTGATGTGGGTGAAAGGAAGCCTAGATTAGGAACAAGAATTAAGCCTAATAAATTAAAACAACAAACAAGCATCGACAAAGGTAAAGTGCTAATAAATTTTTATATACGCAATTTTTAAATAAATGTTTTACTGGTTTTAGACGAAACGAAAGAAGACACCGAAATAAAACAAGAAGAAACATTACCAGCAGTACCTGATGCTACCAGTGAACCTGCCGAAAAATCTCCGAAAGAAGAAATCAAAGACTCCTGGGATGTTGAAAGCTCCGAAGAAGAAGAATCAGAGGAAGTCTCGTCCGAAACTAAAGCTGATACTGATAAACCTGCGAAAAGTGAAGAACAACCAGAGTCTAGTAACGAAAGCGACGATGAAGACGACGAAGACGATGAGGATGATGATTCCGAAGACGATTCCGAGTCTGAAGACGACAACGAGAACGACAATCGAACGGACGCCGAAAAACGTCGTGATAAAGCCAAGGAGCGCATTGAACAGCGCAAACTTGAGGCGGAGAAGAACCGCACCTTAGACAACCTTCGCGCAGCCATCGTTTGTGTCCTCGGCCACGTCGACACAGGCAAAACGAAAATCCTCGATAAACTCAGACGTACGAACGTGCAGGACGGCGAGGCAGGTGGTATTACGCAACAGATTGGTGCAACGAATGTTCCTATCGAAGCCATCAAGGAAAATATTAAAAACGTAAAAGGCGCTGCTGATATGCTGCTGAAAATACCTGGTTTGTTGATTATTGACACACCAGGGCACGAGTCATTTAGTAATTTGCGTAGTCGCGGTTCTTCACTGTGTGATATCGCTATTTTAGTAGTTGATATCATGCACGGGTTGGAACCGCAGACGATCGAGTCGATAAATTTGCTAAAGTCGCGGAAAACGCCGTTTATTGTTGCGTTGAATAAGATTGATAGATTGTACGATTGGCAGACGATGAATCGCAAGGATATTAGGGATGTTATCAAGAGCCAGGCTGCGAATACACAGCTGGAGTTTGAGCAGCGCACCAAGGAAGCGATTGTGCAGTTTGCCGAGCAGGGGTTAAACGCAGCGCTGTTTTATGAGAATCCTGACTTTAGGAGTTATGTTAGTTTGGTTCCCACTAGTGCTGTTACAGGCGAAGGTAATTTATGTGACAATGAAATATTTTGTTATTTTATTTTGTTTTATTCCTATAAAAAGGTATGGGTAATCTGTTGGCGTTGATTGTTGAATCATCACAGAATTTGCTCGCGAAGCGTTTGATGTATTCGGACGATTTGCAAGCGACAGTGCTGGAAGTTAAGGCAATTTCCGGTTTGGGCACCACCATTGATGTCATTTTGGTTAATGGTACACTTAGGGAAGGTGATACGATGGTTTTGGCTGGTACCGATGGACCTATTGTTACACAAATTCGCTCACTGTTAATGCCACAACCTATGAAAGAACTTAGAGTTAAAGTACGTACACTTTTCCGTAAATAAATAAAAACTGTTGGTTTATAATCGTCTAAATTGCAGAATGCCTATATAGAATATAAAGAAATAAAGGCCGCCCAAGGAGTGAAGATCGCCGCAAAGGAATTGGAGAAAGCCATCGCCGGCTTGAATCTGTACACTGCACAGAAACAAGACGAGGTGGAGATTGTCCGCGACATCGTCGCCAAGGAATTAAAATCAGCGCTGTCTAAGATCAAGCTGCAGGACCGCGGTGTGTACGTGCAGGCGTCCACACTCGGTTCACTTGAAGCGTTGCTCGAGTTCCTTCGCACCAGCAAAATTCCGGTGAGTGCAGCTTTTTTTATCTCCATATCACCGCGCGCAAATCGGCATCCAATTAGTGACAATGCAATAAATTGGCTGCGGTTGCGGCGCTGATGATGAGTAGGATTCGCATTAAATTAGATTAGAAACGTACACTCACGGCGAGGTAATATGGTAATGCGCACAATAATAGGTAGTGCGGGTAGTGGTTTGGAAATTGTGGAATTGTAGTAGGTCGGTCGCATGATGTCGATGTTGTTTCACATATTGGCGAGCAAACGAGCGCGCGCGCCGCCCGATTAGATAGTCGCAAGACGTGTGTGCATCTGCACGGGCGTGTGTGTGACCGAGTGTGGGCCGTCCGGTCGGCTTTCTGGGAAGGCGGTACACCCACCGGTATCCGGTGCACACACAGCACACGCTAAACCCAATGGAAACGTTTCACATTATTATCGTATGAAATGCTATCAATTTTTATTTCGTGTGTAAATATTCTAAAATCTATTGCTAATTCAGCTAGTATCCACGCTGTAGACGCTATAAAACTTGTGCGTGTTTTTGTGTCGCCTTTAATTTTTAATACGCGACAAACAAACGCATCTGGCTGGACGCTTCTAACATTTTCGCTCGTTTTTTGACGCTAGTTTTCGACTTTTTTGCTCTGTCCTTTGCTCGACGTCATCTAATGTCCCATGTCCCCGCATGAATATGTGTCGTATGTATGCTGTTATTATCTTATAACGCTTGCATGTGTTGGACATGGTTTTTTCTCTCCATCTTGGTCGACGACTCTAATTACACTTAACTCGACTTGCGCGTTGTACTCGTAATCATTGTAAAAAGTTTCGAATATTTCAAATTTAATGCGGGTCTATGAACTATGCGCAGTCATTTCTTTCTGTGTACATTTTTATTTATACTGGGCGTAATCAACGAAAACCAACAACATTTATGGTAATTAATTAATTGTTTAATAATTTTGCAGTATTCCGGTATTCGCATTGGTCCAGTCGTCAAGAAGGATGTGATGAAAGCTTCCATCATGTTGGAACATGAAAGCCAGTAAGTTTTCCTATATTTATTGACATTTTTAAGCAAAGAGCGCGATATTTAAGCAATGCAAGAATGTATGATTATGATTACATTATAAACACATTGTATATTTGTCAATCGATATCTATTTCGAGCGCTACTGGTGTTTTTTCTCACGCGGTGAACTAATAGCCAACATGTTGCCATCCGAGCCACCGACGATCCTAAACAAACAGCCACTCTCCGAATATTTCTTACGAAAACACCATAATGCATGCTTGGTGAAAATTGTGTAATGTCGCGCTGCTTTTTCCTTCCTCGGGTGTGTGTGACGCGCGTTTATTTGTCCATGGCGAACACATTTGTGGCATTTTTTGCGCTTGACTAAACTTTTTCTTTTCTTCCTCTCCCGCTAGATTCGCCACAATTTTGGCGTTCGATGTCAAAGTCGAGCGGGACGCGCAGGAACTCGCTGATTCGTTGGGCGTGAAGATATTCCGCGCCGATATCATCTATCATCTCTTCGACATGTTCATTGCCTATCGCGATGAATTGAAGGCGCGAAAGCGCGAAGAGTTCAAACACATTGCTGTCTTCCCATGCAAGCTGAAAGTTCTGCCACAGTTCATCTTCAATTCGCGTGATCCCATCGTAATGGGCGTCATGGTCGAAGCTGGCATTATCAAAGAAGGAACACCACTCTGTGTTCCCAGTAAAGAGGTAAAAACGAATTATAAAGTTTGAGATTAAATATGGAGCGTTTTTATTGGTTTGTTACAGTTTGTTGAGCTTGGCTTTGTGAGCAGTATTGAAAGTAATCACAAGAACGTCGAGACAGCAAGGAAAGGCATGGAGATTTGCATTAAGATCGAACCGATTCCGGGCGAATCGCCGAAGATGTTCGGCCGGCACTTTGACGAAACCGATATGCTCGTCAGCAAGGTTAGTGTGAAGATGTGTGCGATATTTGTTTCAGTGTAAACCTACGAAAACTTGTTGTTCAACTTGATTGATTCCGTGGACAAAAGTTCGGCATTGTTTGTGAACCAGTTTCGCCTGACATTAAGTGCTTGACGTCATTCGTGTCCTACTTCCGGCACGTTTGCCGACATCCGCTTTGCTCCGCTCATTGATAAACGCCTGCATTTTCTTCCATATAGCAGCGCGCGCGGCGGTTTGATTGCGGCGTCGAAAGTGCTTCGTGCTGCCACGTTGTCGGTCGCATTGTCGTGTAATCGTATGCCGGCATAATTTATAGACAAATTCTTTGCCTCTTTACGGTATGCTCGTCGCATCCCATTTTCAACGAAGCGGATGCGTTCGCCATGCTTCGCCATTTTGCATAAGCGTATGGGTGGTCTGCGAATGCGATATTGATTTTGCGTTTGCCAAATATGGGTCAAACCGACGACGCGACGACGATTACGTTGCGTTGGATGTGTGTGCGTATTTGAAAGCGTTTCTCTGTTTGCGATTGAAATTCTCGAGACTTTCCTTCGCAAATATCTTCGGACTCCCCCTCGATGTTATTTTCGCTGGCGGATGATGAATGAGTGCAACTTCTTATAGCGCACCTGTTTGAATGAATTGAAGTTGTCTGTCTCTCTGCTGGTGTGGTGTAGAAACAAAAACGCTTTTAATTAAATGTCATTGTTCATTCAAGTCGGTTGCGTGGCGTGTATGTTTTTTTTTGTTGGCTGCTCGTGGAAAATGCATTTTTACGCGACATCTCGGCATGAATGAAGCGCTGCTCTGAGACGCTGTCTCTGAATGACTGAAATCGATGAATTAATGAATGAACGACAGGCGCGACGTGTGTGTGCGTTGATGAAGTCGCAGTTGCGTCGCCGATTCCGATAACTAGTTGCCATTTATGTGCAAAACGGCGAACGCGAACCAGCAAACTGGAAAACACGACCAAATACGTTGCGCTATGCGTTTTCTTTGCACGCTGTTTGTACAAATTCGATTTTTTCCATCTTGCACAGACTGGGTGTGAATGAGAAACACTGAAAAAGTTTCGCTGGCGCTTTTTCGCCGCCGTCTGGGTGAATGAAATTGCGAAATTGTTCTAGAAATTTATTCCAGGGGGTGCAGTGCACGCGTGCGGTGTGCCAGTGTCCCAGTTTCGCGGCGATCGATTGTGGCTGTTGGGGGCGTGGTCACTGCCGCCTCTCTGGGGGCTGCCTTGCCTCGCCTGGTTTGAATGAAACGCGTGTGCATGCATCTCTGCACCCGGGAGAACCCGAACGAATCGATGAATGGGCATGTCTCTATTCCCCTGCTTGCACTTTTTGCCTCGCACGTGTACGGCTTACTTCTTCGCGCTGGGAACGTCCGGGATGACCTACTCGAAACGAGAACACGTGCAGGATTCGGGTCATGCCAAAGGCCACTTACTTCCCAGGCGCGCAGCAATTTCATTTCATTTTACTTCGTCCCGCTGCATTTCGCAAATGAAATGTTTTTACAACCGGAAAATTTTACATCTCTGTGCAGATATCTCGGCAGTCGATCGACGCCTGCAAGGATTACTTCCGTGACGACCTGGTGAAGACCGACTGGCAACTGATGGTGGAGTTGAAGAAGACCTTTGAGATTCTGTAACGCGCCATGCAGAATCCCGGTGACTCGACGAAGGAATGAAGACATAGCTATTTTATACATGATGTTTATTTGAGATTCTTCATCAATTTTATTTTGATTTATGATTAATGTCGTCAAACCGACACCATCTTTGGTTGATTTTATCCTTATGCGATCCTTATGCCCTTGGCGGATACTGGATGAAAGCCAGTAAAATAAAAAAGGAATTGTGCAACAATATGATGTTACGAGCTTGATTTGCCACCACTATAGGACATAACAAATCAATTGAAAGAAATTGAAACGTTTCAATGTTCTTCAATGATCGTCCGCGGCCCATTGTGATTGCAACGAATATAAATCCGTATTCATTGTGCAGTTGTACGTGTGCGTGGCATCTCGTTCGGCGTTCGGACGCGAAGCGATAGAAAATAATTGAAACGACATTGGCCTAAATTCGCACACACTTGGTGTATGCGATTCATTCGTATTTCGCTGTGCGGGTATGAATCGGCCGGCGGCGTGTGCATTTGCGTCTGGTGAATGGACGGGCGACGGCAGCGGCGGCATCAATGTGTTGCACGCACGCGTATTTGCCAGATGCACACGGAGCAGATCAATGAAAGAATTACAAATTAATTTCCTGCAGTATCTTTAATATTGAATGAAAATTTCATTAATATACATTACATAAATTCCAAATTATGTACAACCACAAAAACCCAATTATCTGCGAAGATGTCTCGCTTGAGAAACCAACATGAATGAAGCCATGCAACATTCCGGTGTGGCATAAAGTGCAGAGATTTCTACGGCCGTAAAACACATGCTCGAGTGTCGCTGTGCACCGGAAGTGCTACCGGTGGCTTTGGCCGCAAGAAGACACGCCATTCTTGCCGGCATTCTTGTCCTGCGATATAGAAACTAGATGCGGCAAAAACACACATAAACACCGAAAGGGGGACGGCCACGTTTAGGTCGAGCGCGTTTCCATTCTTCGCGCATTTCATTCATAAACTACCGCGGCATTCTTCAGAGGCCGCCGAGAGGAAACGCAAGAAACGAGGAAACGTGCGTCGCGTATGCAAGAGGAAACCGATCTCACACTCACAAACACACACATACTAGACAAGCACCAAAGCTGGCATGACATGACATGCCGTGCCTAGCCAAGTGGGCATGTTGTAAGTTGGTAGTAAAATATGCAACGCACTGGTGCGCCGCTTGTGAGTTTCATTCAACAATTTCGCAGAGAAGCGCGTCTGCAAGAAGAGCGCACATGTCGTGCCTACAAAACGGGCAATGGAACGACCAGGTGGAGTGCACAACACTGAAAATACGGTATGTAGCAGTTATTTGTCACACTAAATTAAACAGCTAACAATTTAATTTAAACCATACGAAATTACCAGCTTTTGTTTGCGTTGAAACACTAAAAACTATTTCAAAACGCTAAAAAGCAGAATAATGTTTGCACTCGCTACAATTGTGTATAGTTTTGAATGAAATATCTAGTCGGTTCTAAAGCACTAAAGGTAAGAGAGAAACATTTACTATTCTAGTAAAGTGAGTACAGGCAGTCCGCTGTCAACAGGAAGTAAACGGTAACGGTGAATACGGTTTTTCTTTGGCTTTGGTCTGGTCTCTTTGACGTTTTGTTCGGCACGCTGACTGTGCGACCGTGTGCTGACGTGATTAACGAACACTAGCGCAACAGCGACACGGTCGCATCGCATCGCACAAGATTGTAACTTGTCGTTTGTGGTATTTCACACGCTGGCGATGGCGAAATGGCAGCTGAACATGATGGACTATAAAATTCGTCCCCAAACGGGCACCCAAACGTTAAGAAGGTGTGGAAAATGACGAGTAATCTAGTTTCGATTCGTGGAGATTAGATTAGCAGATAATGAAATGTTGGGCTGGGACATAAAAATGTTACCATCACTCACCCAACGCACCATTATCTTGTTAATCGTTAAAAATGTGTTTGACGTAAAAGTTTATAGTGTTGCTGTTTTTTTCTTCCACCGAGCGTAAAGTAAAGATAAGCAAATTTGTACATTTTAGTGTCTTTCGGAAGTTATGCCATTATTTGCCGAAATTGTTGACTTCTGCATGAAATTTTCGAACGCGCAGGTTTTATGTTGTTTAACATCGCTTTTGATCGTCGCGAGGAGGTCGTAAAAGCGTCCATTAACTATTAGTAGCCGCGCGCTCGCAGCGCAGGCAATCCAATTTCGACACATCTAAACTTTTTTGTTGTTATTTTCGGCTTCGCCCGTCTCCATGCATACATAATGCTGGTGCTTGCAATAATTTTCAGGCGCGTGGGCAGCGCGGGCGAGGACGCGGGCGTCGTCCTTATTGCGTCCTTCCGCGGGGTTGGTTGCCTTTGACATTGAAAATCGGCGTGTTGCCGTGGCGACGACCGTGAACGCGTGGGACTAGGCCAACCCCGCCGATGGTGTGCCCACCCTCGCGGCGCCCACACACGCCAGCTACCACCGCCAACCCGCGAACACCGCGTGGGCGCCGTCGGCCGCCTCCTGCTGTGAGTTAATGCCACCGGCCCGTCAAACTTTCCTGCGTGTGCCAACCCACATTGTGTACACTGTACACACTGCTCCAAACGAAATTAGATTTCGCACGTCTGGAGACTTTGCGGGCCGGTTGATGGCGTTATGCGATATGAAACGCGATTATGAACGGGCGCGCGCAACGCCTCTTGATGAATTCGATCAAGTTGTAATGCGATTTGTTAGCACACGTCATGGGAGTGATACGAGTATCTGACGTCATTCGGGGCGAGATTGTGTTCAAAGTTTGACGAGGGCGGAGGAGGTTTAGGGTTTGCTCGTGGATCATCTGGTAAGTAATGAAAACCTCGCCTGCTAACTAATCTCTTAAAATACGAACACATCCATAAAGTATAATGCATTATACGGAATATAATTCATTTCGCAGAATTTCATCGCTATTGAAAAACGGATAAAATTAGCATGATGCGCATCAAAAAAATCATAAGCACAAAAAACCGGAAGCGTTCGCTAATTCTATGACATTAGAATTTGTAAATAAATAAATAAATGAAAAGCGAGTTAGCGATACGGCAAAATTAACAAGTTTATGATGAACAACCACAGAAAAACCTTCGAAATATAATTTTACAATTCTAGAAATAAGTAATATACGAATAGGTATTAAAATGTTAAATGTTCTTGAATATTTTTCTTGTTTTTTTCTGCTTTAATTTGTAGGTAATTCAATTTTTATTGACCGCGGTTCCGAGAACGTACTGTATTCAACCTACAAATGTGTTGCACGTTTCGTGTGTATGAGATAATTCTATACGCGAGAAGAGAACGCGTGTATTATTTAAATTCAAATGAACGTAACTTCCGGGATATCGCATCCGTTTCATATAATCGCCACTTTTTATTTGGCGTTATTATGTGGAATGATAAATATGTTAGCAATTGCTAATCATTTATATAGTTTTTTAATGGCAGTGCGTAAATCTATAATGTTTTCATGTAGGAAGTCACATTTTACGTACTAGTGCGCAAAATTATTTTTTTCAACGAATGTTAACTTTTGATATTCAAGGAGCAAGTTTTTCATAAAATTTTTATGTGTTTTACATTCAATATTACATTTTTCACAGTTTGGCACGCTTTTTAAAATAATAATAGCGTGTAATTAAGGTTAGGTGCGAAATTTACTAGGTAAAAATTGCGTTGACGGATTTCACGTGTTTCTATCCATCATTAAATTTAGCATTTCCTCGAAATGTTGTTTTCCAATTAAAACAATTTTGTCTAGGTCCTTTAACTTCTCGGAAACTGTCGATTTCGTGGTATTTATTCGTGGTTACAGGCGATTATTGCTTGATTTATACGCCTTCCCGCGAATTTTATGTGAATTCTCTTCGGCAGTTTGCGTGCGTAATAAATTAGCATTTAGAAACGTGCGCGATGTGCGATTTGCGGCGGGCGTCGGACGTAATCGCCACCCATCGCCCGATTAAGAAACTGATCCGCTCGCCAGCAGCGAGGCTGAAAGAAATCAGAATCGCATCGGCGAGCCGGCCCATTTCCGGCCGCCACAATAGCCGCGAATCGTAATTACCGCTCGGTTCATTAGTCCGCACGACGACGACGACGACTAGGATTCGCGAAAGAAAAAGCGGGCGCTCGCGTTCCGAGTGCCACTTCCGTTAGACTAGGTCGCGATGCCCCGATGTGCGTCGCGCCCGCTATAAAATTGTGAATTCCCATTCATGTTTTCTAATACATCCGTATAAGTACTTGCCTGCGCGCGCGGCGAGCGCTCGCGTGTTGGCATCGGCATGGACTCACGGAGAGACATGAATGAATATATCGACGCGAGTGGGCGCGCGCGGGCCGCGCGACGGAAGCCGCAGCAAGGCGAGGTTGGCGCAGGCGCAGCTGTGGCCGGGCGGCAGGCAGCAGGAGCTGCAGCAGCAGCGGCAACAACACCACTAACATCAGCAGATACGGGCGTACGTACGCTCTGCGCTGTGGTCGCGCTGGCCATCTCACTGTGTGTCACAAACATCTGCCTGATTACGTGCCCCAACCACCCGTACCCGTTGACCACCTTCGCACCCTCGCGCAACCGTGTGGCAGTGCGTGCGCGGATCGACCATATTGATCGCCGGCGGGCCGCGTCGCGATGCACGCACGACCCGAAATTCGACCGGCGGCGACGCGCGCGCTCCGCGAATAGCGCGCCGCAACCAGCGATACGCGGGCGCGGAAAGCGCGCCGCGCAGCGCAAGGAGAGCGCGCCGCGCACACTTGGCTCTCGCGCTCGACCGCGCTCCGGCACCAGCGCACGTCGGCGCGCCAGTTTGCGTTCGCGTCGCGCGATGCGCGTCATTCGCTCGGAGTCGAAAGTACCAGCTTACCAGCTTAGTGCGTTTTTCAGTACGAATACGACGCGCCGCGGCACGCACGGGAATCATCGACGCCTTCGATACACGATTTTGGGATTACGACCACGCATATTTGACTGAGCCGAGTGTGAAAAGAAAAGAAAAGCGCTCGTCGCTGTAGCCAGTTTTGTTGTGCGGTGCCCAGGAGAGTTAAAAGCAAGTGAACAAACATCCCCGTGCTGTGCGCTAAATATTGATAACACAGCCGCAGCAGCAGCAGCAACAACACGACAGTGATTACAATTACATTTCGCATTGATGAGTTTCGCACGTCGTCATCGGCGTCTGTACCAGCCGCTCATGTGGAGTGCCAAACTTTAGGTGAGTCCGCGACCCAAACATTTCATTTCCTCGCGCGCCCAGCAATTATATTAACAAACATCTGTTTGTTTTAAAGCACTTGTTTTACGCCACCAGCATTCATTCATACGGACCGCATGAATTACATACATAGCCTTGCATGACCTCGTAACGAATTTCTCGTTTGGTCAGCGCGCGTTTTTTTTTTTAGCTCGATTTTCGTGCCGCTCGCTGGCGCGGATTTTGTTTGTTCGCTCTATCGTGTGCTCTGTTATGCCATAATATTTATTCGTGGCGGTCGAAATCAACAAGCCCGATTTCCGTTCGCGGCAGGCAGCGAGCGCATAACTAGCTGCTGCTCACATGGTTTCGATCATTTCGGTGCGTATGCGGTTGGGAAACCGATTCAGGTAGTAAACAAGTGCGTCTTGCATGCTAATCCGCGTATTAACATGACGGCGCGGAGCACGTGGTCGCGTCTTTCGCCAAAACGCGGGGGCGATTCACGAAATTTCCCTGCTAATTTCGTGCGCGACTCGCGGCGCAGCTATTTCCGTCGCGTTGCTTTTTTCCCGTTTCACTAACGTCAACAGTCAACACCGCCTCGCCTCGCCGGCGCGTTATTATTGCCAAAAACTCATTCAAATTCGCGCCCGGCTCGCTCGGCGTTCATTCATCGACACACGCTGCTCGCAGGCGTTTTACTTTCCAATTTTCGAAGGTTTCCCCTTTGATATTTACGCCTCCGAGTGCGACCAAGCGCGAATCTATGCTCTAGTCTTCTTGATGATTTTCATCTGTGTCGGGATGCGGCTGCCGGGAGTGCTCTGGGAGAGCGGCGATATGCGATGAGCAGAGCCGCGCGTAGGTTCTCTCAGCGTGCACACACTGTGATTCTAAACCGAACCCATTGATTCGTTTCGTTATAAAGTAGTTCATTCACCCTAAAAACGCAGCGTACAACTTCTCGCGCCGCGCAGCACTCGAGAGAGCGAAGCGCGGCCGCGGCGCTCTCGCGTGGAAGGGCTTTCAATGTGTCGTCATGTTTGTATATCGCGCTCTGTTCCCGCTCCGGCGGCCGTCTCGTTTGCGCCAGTTTCTTTCATTTGAGTTTCTCTCCGCTCTGCTGCGCTGATGCTGAGCCGACGAAGGCGAGAGAGCCGCGCGCGGAGCTGAAACACACCGCGGCCGCGAGTCGCGAGTCTCGCGTAATAATATTCGATTCTTCCTTCGGTAAAGTTTATATTGAGATTTGGTGTGCGCGCACACGGCAGCAGCCACAGCCGGACCGAAGGAGAGATCGTAATATCTACATGCCCCATGGCAACGAGTATTAAATATACAGCTTCCGTTCGCTGCGCGCAGCTTTTGCTCTGGAAAACAAGCGATCAATTTCGTAACCAACAAAAACTCGACCAAAAATTTCGACTGGCGACGATTTTTAACTCATTTCTTTCCTCTTGATGCACATATTCCTGTTTTTATGACTCGTCTATTTTGGTTGCGTTTGTGCTTTGAAGCGAGACTACTGATGTGCACGTGTTGTCGAATTGTTTTGGTTTTGTTTGCGCACGTAATGTGCGCTTCTGTGCGTGCGCCCCGTGCATCGAATTCAATTCGTGTGTACAGAAATTAAAATCAAAGCATGAAAAGGCGATGCTTATCTGAGCAGCAAGCTTCTTTTCAAGCCTTCCTTGCAGCTGTGCAGAGAACGCGCGGATCGAGTATCAATTTCGCGTTGTATGTTGTGTGTGTGTGTTTTTTTTCTCTTCTTGTCTTCTTTTCGTATTGTGATGCGTTGATGTCGTTTTGACAAGTCGGCAGCAGAGCAGCCAGCATTTGCGGCGGTTGCGGCTGCTGCGCTCTCGAGCATTCGGCCGCGGTGGCATGACGGTTGTTGGTCGCCATTATTCCCGGGAAACGGACCATTACTAGTAAGTAGGATGTCCGTCAGCATCACCAGAGCACACACTCGCGAAGCCGGCGGCAGGCGGCACTCTAAATTTCGAAATTTAACGCGCCTAACGAACATGTGTGCACATGTTACATACCCACTGACGAACCTACGAAAAACCTTACAAAAAAAGCGCACGAATCCACCATTCAATGCACAGCATAGCATACAGACGTGATCGGAAAGTTTTACATATTCAGTATTGTGGTTTCCTGCTCCCACTGCGCTCCCGTGGAAGCAAACCGCAAAACAAAAATCGTGAAAAACACGCCGCGATAAGCGATAAGAAAACGACACAAATCGACATAATTATTCTTATATCTTTGTTTTCATAGTTTTGCCAACGCGAACGTTTTGTTTTTCAGTGTTATTGGTGTGTTTTTGCTGCGCGTTCATTCAATGCGCTCTGCTGGTAACGTCATAATTATCGCGCGATATTAATTGCAATTCATTAGCATGCTGAAATTTCGCGTTCGCGCTCGCTGACAAAAAAGGTAAACCGCAATTACACTCGCGCGCCGTGCCGTCGTCGTGTGTGAATGAAGCAGCGAACGCCGGCGAATATTAATTGAACGAAATGCGGGCCTGCAGCCGCTAATAAATAAACATTCGCGCGCGGCGCTGCAATTCGTATGCGCGCGAATGTGCATAGTTAATTAGCTATGCGCGGCGCGTATCTGCACGCCGCGGTGTGTTCATTCATTATTCGAACGCGCTCGTCATTGACGAAACGTATCGCATATCGCTTTATAAACGCGCTTATTATATGCGCAGCAACTATTTGCGCATGACATGTTGCACAAACTACTCAGGGGTGTCTTTAGCACATCGTAAACAAAACGCGGCCGAGCGCTATATGAACACTGTGTATGTCGAGAAACGTACGACGGACAAATGATGAATAAATAAAAGATTGTTGGAGTGTAAAACGCATGAATTATGCATGCGCTGCACACAATTATTGTTTATGCATTAACTTATTGTACGAATTAGTTTTGTTAATGTTTAAGTCTGTATGTGGTGTGATGGACTCGAGTCAATTCACCTTATAAGTAGTGGTAATTATTACATTATCGACACATTGTTGGCCGTTTGCCGATTGTGTCGGTGGTGTTGATTGCATTAACGAATCTCGCCGCGTCTCGGCTATTTCCTGTCATTGAGATTATGCCGTGCCGCATGGGAGTGCATGCCAAGAGAGTGGTGGCGGTCGAGGTTCCTTCCGGTCGCTGCTTGCATTCTGGTTTCCTGCGCCTGGGCGGCGTACATCCTCTCTTGGAAAACTTCTTCGGAAATTAGTATGCTAAAAGCACAGCATAGTGTGTCGTTAAAAAGTCAAATAATCACTTTTTGTTGTATAAACGCGGCGGTAATTTCTTTTCGGTTGGTTTTATTTAAGTGGTGTTTTGTTGCATATTTCGCGGTGCATGCAAGCGAGTAATATCCATCATAGTTGAGAGAACGTTTGCCAGCGCGCGCTTGTAAATCGGTGTTCGGTCCCGCCGATGATTTGCTGATTTTCTGCGCGCGGGCCGCGGCTAAAAATAAAATTCCGCGTCCATCCTGTTTACAAGATAAATCTGGTCTTCTTCGTGCACGTAACTCACTCGCGGCCGTTTGCTTCGACGTGCAATTACACTCGTTTAAACATCTCTTCCCAAACGCCCGCGATTCGCGTAGTAAAAATCAACAGTCGTTCGATGATTAATTAGTCTTTGCGACGAGTTTTGCTTTGTGTTTTCATAATCTCCTGGGGTTCGTAAATTTGGTGGAATTTGTTGTTTTGTAACGTGATCTTTTATATTTAGGTAAAAATTCCACGCCGCGCTCGACTTGAGTTACAAATTTCGAGAACATGTTTCGCCTTCTGTTTCTGTTTCTCGCGTCGCGCGCTCCGTCTCGATGAAATAATTGATAGTACAGTAGATTGAACTAATTTTTCGCCGCTCGGACGTCGGATGGCGTGCCATCGCGCGCAGCTCCAATTCCGCCCGCAGATATTTGAAGAAACCCATAAATTAAACACCGTTATACATATTTGAAAAACACATCCTGCGTACCTACCGCTGCGAGCGCCACAGCCGGATTTTTGTTATGACGTGCCGTGCGCCGGTTGGCGCCTCGAAACGCCGAGGTGTAATCTATTACCGCGCGCGAATTAATTAGGCGCAAAACACACCTTGATTGCGTATTTTCCGAGTTTACAGCAAAAAAAAACCTCTCGATGTGTTTGGAATTTGATCGAAAACGCAAAAAAGTTCGATTTTAAAGTTATGAACGCATTTTGAAAAGCCACGTTTGCTCGCCGCTTAAGATATTCGTTCGACGTAATCCAAACAAAACTGTTTTTATATATCCGGTGTGCGGCTATTTATAAAACGAGGACGAATTTAGAACACGGCGTCGTCGCGGTGTGTACGGCCAAGCCAGCCGCAGCCGGCGACGCCGTGCCGCGCCCTGCCTTGCATTTTCCTCTCTTATCTCTACCGAAATGTGCGAGAAAACGCGAAAACATATTTTTCCAACTTATTTCGCCGCCGGAATGTTTGCGCTGGGCCTTCGGCCGTCGGAAACGACTAAAGACGGATAGTTTTTCACGCCCACGCCAAGTAATTTACCTTAGATTCGGACGTCACGCGCGAGACAAACAACAATTTAGTCGGTCTATAAAACCATACACATTCACAATATATGTGTGTGTGTAAGGAACACACGAAATGAAAATGAATTGGAAACTTTTTTTAGATGATTGAGATTGTGTGGTATTATAACATAATACGAGCGTAACCTTCAAATCGCGCGAGAGCAGTCCATTCATTATGATGCGAAACGATGCAAACCTTCCTTTCCATTCACAGGCTGACAACACAGAGGCGCGCCTCTCGCGATTCATGGCAGCCTGCCGCCGACAGCGCCGCCACCACCGTCTTCTCTCCACCGCCGACATGAATCGGAATCAATGCTGTCGCTCTATTGTTCCGTTTGCGACCAATCCCGACACAATCGTGTTGATTCATAAAAAAATCTTCACACTCACATCAAAATTTAATTTCTTTAAATATTTTTAGGAGACTTTTAATCGCTTTGAATTTTTGATTCGGTTATCCGCGGCGCTGTGTTGTAATGTTGTCAAATTTTGTCAATATACTTGTAAGTTAGTTGATTATTATGCATTACATAATTTCCCGAGCGTTTTCGATGAGGTTACTCAATCGAATGCAAACAGCCGCAACGCACCGGCTCACAGACACAAACGGCCGCATTCATCGGGCAAAAAAAAAGCGCACAAACGCACGCACACGCACTGTGCGAGACTCGCGCGATTCAAACGAAATTACATAAACATTTCCGACGCTCATGCTCGCAGACAGAAAACGGTTACGGTGTTTATCGAAATTTTTGGTTTATTTGATTCTCGATTCGATTCTAATCAAGTTTTATTCTATTTTTGTTGTCACTAGCGGTATGATCCCAAGCATATTATTTAGAAAATTTAATTTTTTTATATTTTTACTTAAATTTAAATAAATTGTATTTATAAATTAATATTGCATAGAATAAGTAAATTTTATTCGATTTAAATTGATGTATTGTTTTTAGTTTTTAATTTTAAATATTTAAATGCCCAGAAAAGTTTTGTCCATATTCGTATTCGCTTGGTGTATAGTCGAATCGTTATTCGAATGTGTGCGAGAGCGGTTTTATTATATCTAAGAGGTTATCTCTTTCGAAATATATCCGGGCCCTGGCAAACAATCCCATCCACTATGCGCGCTATTTCCATTTTTTTCTTTCCACGCGCAGTGCGTTTTCTTTGGGCGTCTCGCGTGAGTCGAACGTTATTTGCGATATTATGTGCGTGCGTTTACCTGTTTGGCAATTTGCGTCGTGCGATAGCGCCGTTTTATCACCTCCTCTGGATGGATGGTGTGGCGTCTGAGTACATGTGTGTGTGTGTCTTGAGATGTCGTCACGCTCGTCACAATAATATCATTGTCGACGCGCAGATTGCGATATTAAAATGTGTAACGATAAAGCGATGTGTTGCTCCTCACGCACAATTTCGCCGCTGTGCGCTCACTTATCTAACCACGCCGGAGGTTACAAACCGGGGTTATTGCAAACATACGCTGCTCGGCCACGAAAAATCAACAAAAACACGGCGCTAACACACTTTACTTTCATCAGCATCGAAATCAAATCAAATTCCTTAACGATTTTTCAAGTTTAAGTTGTAATTATTGCCTGCTAAGTGTGGAAAATTAAATTGTTGTAATTTTCCCACGTGTGTGACGCATGATGTAATTACCTGTTTGGTAAAAAGTGATTGTTAATCATTTTTCGGTGATTTTCTACTCTAGATGTTTTATTTTATATCGGCGATGATTATTTATGTGAAATATGTGTGTAGTAAGCGCGTTATCGGCGCGTAGCATAATGCGATGCTAATTTTTAATAATTTCTTAATACAACAACCAAACAAGCGATACATCACGCACACACACGCTGCCCGCCCGATGGGGCTCGCCGGGCAGTTCGCTCGAGAGAGGAAAAAAAGGCATAATAATTTGTAATCGAAAACCGTCTGGCCGACGAGTTGACCCGTGCTGGATGCTCCGCGCGGACGATAAAAACTACACACACTATACGCGGTGCCACGCCGATTACGGCATTCGGCGTTTGTTGCTGCTTTTTGGGGAAACATAAAACACCAAACATGCGTGCGAGCTGATAGGGCGGTTAAAATTAAATATCAATTAAAAATGTTATGCGTACGCGCTTCGAATGAATAACAAGTCGTTTTCGGTTATTTTTAATTACACTGATATTAACTACGCACATTTACATACATTTTTCTGATACAAAATAAAAAAATATAAAAAATTGTTTTTTATTTTTTAGAATTTACCTCCATGACGGATACAACCGATGAAAACAACCATCACAGCGTAATCAAAGTAAGTATCCGTTGCACATGCAATTCAATGCCGGCACGAAAATTGATAAGCGATTCGATCCGCGCGAAAAGTTTGAATGAACGGGCAGCGTCGACAGGATGTAAATAATTACGCATTGTTCGCGGCGCTATCTTATCGTCAGCGCCCGGCATAAAACCTAAGCGCTCCTCCGCTGGAATTGGAAAGAAACGCGAGCTATTATTGTGACGATTGTCACCGGCGATTAGTTTTTATCGCGCGAGGCGCGGGCGCTCCTCCTGCGACATGAATTCAAGTGCTTTGTGCTAATTATAGGAGGTAATAGGTGGTAATCGTACGCATTTACTGCGCTTATCACTTGTCTGCCGGCACAATAATAGTAATACTAGTCGAGCACGTAAACAATTCGAATTTCTGATCGTTCGAGTAAACGATGCAATGACATGATAACGATTCGAATAACAAATACTTGTAGATATTACAAAAATAGCTACGTTATTTACGGCTTTAAATAAATTCGTAGACTCTCATGGATCAGGTGATTTTGTATTTAATTGATAAAACGCACATTTTTCAAGTTAACGTTAACATTAGCTCATTAATAAAACGCACAACGCGTTATTAAAGTCTAGTATTAAGAGGATATGACAAATCTACAATTTCCTGTTGGCCCGTAGTTTAATTACAAACTAAATAAAACATAAACGTGCGGTTTAATATCGCGATACGCAGGCTATATATGCATGTGCGCATACAATGATGGCCGTGCATGCTGGAGATAATCAGATATTACTTACATCCGTTTCGTCTTACGAAAGAGCACGGAATGTAAGTGTAACAGCAACAAGCGGAGCAGGCCGCGCGTCGTTATAAAGCGATTTATCGAGAGAAATCACGCCGTTTTCGTGGACTTTTTAAAGGTACCTAAACGTAAATTTCCTAGTTGAAAACTTTTCCAGTCATAGAATTCCCGATTCCAGCCGGCTGAAGAGATGTAAATAATAAATTTCCAAGTCGACCAGTGAAGCGAAAGAGTTGGTCGTCGTCGGTCGCTACGCGGTCGTCTCGGTCGTGGTTCTCGAAGGAAGAAAACGAAAAAATCTCGCCTGTATCGCGCGCGCGCGACGCGCGGCCATGCCGTATAACCGAACCCACATTTATAACCCGCGGCGAAATGACTTTTTACTTACTACAAAACTACAGAAAACCGTACAGCGACGTACTAACAAAACATAAAAATTGATATCACCGCAGTGAAATTTTCCCAACACATCGCGTAATGTATACGAATTAGGCTTGTCATCGAGAATTGGAGTGAGTACTTATCGATAATAATTATCGTTCAATTGTTTCGGTCTCGATTGAATCGGCAGATTAATTGTTGTATTCTCGAGTGGCACATCCGCTCTAGATATAGACGCAAACAAGGCAGCGTTTGTTGAATGATGAGTTTGGCTTTTTGTTACTATAATACGGTGGATTGTTTTCGCGTTGAGTCCGTGCCTGGTGCATAAGTAATCATAGCACGTGCTTGGCGCAAGAAATCCGGTCCTGAGAAGAGAGTCGCGGGTTGTGTGTGTATGTGTATGTGTATGCATGTGCCCCCGTGGTCCGGGTCTCTTGGCCGTCGTGTCGTTCGCGTCTCGTTCTCGGAGAGCCGTCGCCGCCGCGCGTCCTTCGCCCCCCGCGCTCGGCGCGAGCCGCGTGCACACGTACGTCGTTGAATGCGTAGCGCGGTAGCCGTCCGGTAGGCGCACGGCAAGGAGGCGAGGAAGGCGAGCCAAGGCGGCAGGTCAACGCGCTCCATCCCGCTTCGATTCATTCATTCGCGTCGCCGTCGCGCGTCCGATGCGCCCATCCGATCCGGTCGCTACACGGCCAGCCGCTGCTACCGCGCCAGAAAGATGATGAACAATGAGCCACCAGCGCAAAAAACTAGTTTGATCAAGGGTTGCGGTCTGTGCTGCGGTGCACCGCAATAAGAAGGGGTTGTGCAGTGAGATGGAGTACATAATCAACATCAGCTGCCTGCGGTTTGCTTGGATTTCTTATGCGAACACCTTGTAGAGCGTAAAAACGAAAATTAACATTTTTTCTGCTTACAACGCAGCCGAACGTAAATCCGATATGTTTACCTCTGCATGTTCTATTTGTGTCCTAAAAGAGGAAATGCTGATGTTTCAAAATCGTCTTTAATCGGGTTACACGCTTTAACCACGCACAGAAAATACAAATACGAATTTTCAATGAGTAGTGTGTTGGCAACTTGTTGTTTCTAAAAATATCATATTTATTTCTTTGCCCGCATGGCCTCTATATAGGAAAGGTCGATTTCCGGCACGCGGGGCATTCCTTTTTTTTTCTGATCGCGTCTTCTCGTCTCCGCTTGCCGAGTTGAACATAACGAATGGACGTGTGGTGCGGACAAAAGCCAATTTAAAAACGCACCCAATGCATTGCATGTGCATCAACACAGCAGCAGCCGAGCGTCTCTCAGGCGCTGGATATGTATGCTGGGGCACCACGTTGCACGTCCGCGGCGGTGCGCGCCCGAGTCGTGCAGGTGTTTCTCTCCGAATCGTGTCGGTCGTGTTTTCAGGTCCCTCCGAAGCCCGGAGTGTGTGTTTATCGATGCGGTGCGCGCCGTGGCGTGCACATGTTCCGCCAGTGTGTGCCAGGTGTTAAACGCTTGGTGTGTGCTTCAGAAAAACGATTTACCTTGAATAACTGAATAATAACGAAACCGAATCGAAATCGGAGCGCGCGATGCGACCAACCATCATCCGAAGAAGAGGATGCTGGTCCATTCATCGCGCGTCGCCTACCGATTTCGTGATTGCATCGACGAAAAAAAGCATCAAAATAAATTTTAAATGGGTAGGTAGGCTGTGTAGGCCCCAACCCAGAGGGTTATAAATATGATGCTTTTGAGATTTTCGATGGAAAAAAGGGAAAAAACTATTTCCGGTCCGAAATTTACTTGGAACCGATCTGCCTTCACGGAATCTACTCGTTAAAGGGATTACAAGCGGTTTGAAGAAGTGCTGCGCGTTCCGAAAGTGTCGTTTTATTGTCTTTTAAGTGCATTCGCTACTTACGCACTCGGCCGCTCCCATAATCGGCTTAAACCGGTGGCAAGAAAAAGGGTGCTAAATGTTGTGGTCAAGTCGAAATGGGCCGCTCCTTGCCGGATTAATATTAATCACTTGTGGCAGCTTGCAAAGCGCACATCAACGCTAAAATTGCCTCCAGTTCTCTAGTGGGTTTTATTTTCCACTCGAAAATCAAGTTTTTGGCAGCGAAACATAATGACCGGAAGAACTAACGCGAAACGTGCGCGAGACGTGAAGAAAATAAAAACACCAGCGCGCGTAAAACGCAAGGTGATCGAAAAACCACTTACCAAGACCCAAAGGTGAGGCTCGCGCGCTGCGACTCTCGGGATATGGGCAAAAAAGCAGTTTCGTAATCAAATTACCGTTTCGATATTTACGTGACTGGACAGATTTGTGGGATGACGAGCGCGTTCCTTCCACGCTTCACGATGCACGCTCGGCGTACGCGCAGAGAGGAAAAAAAACACGAAGAACGAATGCAGGAAATGGTCGAATGATGTAAATTATTATATCGTCGAAGCCAAGCGAGCAGCAGAGCGGCAGCCAGTAGTCGTTCGGTCGATTTTTCGTTGTTGTTTTTTTTGTCTTGGACAAAATCAAGTTGTGTGGATGTATGTGAGACAGAGATGAACACAATCATCCCTTTTGTGTGCGCAAAGGACGTCTAAAGGTAAACCTGCCTAAAAAAATCAAATAAGTCACACCGCATAGCTATAACTTTAAGACAAGAAAAAGAAGAAGAAGAAAAAAATGGTCTAAATTTAAAGTACTGTTTTGCTGAATATGTGAAACCGTGATTATGTGAATATTTACCGTGCGTGTTTTGGTCGACACGCATCGCATCGCACACAACACACTCACACATATACCGAAGCAAGCAGCACGACCTTCCAGAGGCCGCGTGTACACTCCGCGCGACGAAGAACCGAAGACGCGCCTCACCTTCGGCATCTCCGTTTCGTGCATGCACCGCTCACCTTTGGACATTATTCATCTTTATTTTCTTCGTATTTGACTATACAAGCAACACGCCTATCTTATGGTATTCTATGCAGTAACGCAGTGATTCTACTATCTTCTGGAAAATGTTGGCGTGGGCTTCAGTGTTGTGCTTTTCCTTCGGATTGTACACGTTACAAACACACAAACATAACGTAAATTTCTCGAAAATTCTATTTTTACTAAATTTTTCTTTTTTATTGTGGATTTATTGATTTGATTAAATATATTTTGTTGGCAATTCAAGCGAGTTTCGTTTCTGATTGACTCCGATGAAACAATGATTATTGCCAATTATTGACCGACCGGGCGCAGTCGGACGAGCAGCGAGCCAACGATCCAGCTATAAATATAAATTAAGACATTACGCTTGCGCCAGCCCGATGGTAAACATAAATTAATAAAATTGCCTCGATTCATTCATCGTTTGTGGCGCGTTCATTGATTAACCGCCTCTAATCGTTTCACAATATACACAATATATACACATAATTTGGTTCATTATCAGCGCTGATAACAAGTATTATTTAGTTTTAACGACCACCAAACTGGATATTGTTTAAAAACTTTTCGGAGGAAAACAAGCAATTAGTTTCAATCACATTTTTCATGCGTATGCCAACAAAATTTGAGTGTATTTAAGTGTGTGGAAGACATTTTTCAGTTTGTTGACCTCGCGAGAAATTATTACAACGCGCGCGTAATATCCGTGGATGTGTCGCATCCGTTTTTGTCAACGCCGAACGACAAAAACCAACAAAACGCAGCAATAAACTGGATGTGATAGCGAAAACAACAACGCGTTGGAAAAAAAAAACCGCAAGCGTCGATCATCATAATTGTATGTAAATTTTGAGCAATTTCGTGCAACATTGTAAGATAAGTGAACAATTACACCTTGTAACCGGCTCGGGAGTGTGTGTTGTTCGCGAACGTCAGCGTCGTTAAAAACAACTCACACTCACATACAGATAAGAAGCTTAATTTTGCTTTTATCGTGTCAATTTTTCGACTAATCGTAGTGGACGACGGACGTCGAACGCACTGTACGCACATTGCTCCCGATAAGATAAATTTATTTAATTTGTGTTAGATTTTCGTTTGCAATCGTGAAAATTATGAATGAATGAATAGTCGAGGGTTTAGTTTACTTGCGGATGTGGATTGTGAAAGGCAAAGACATCTGGCGCACACATCGTTGTTGAGAAAAGGCAAAGAAAAAAAAACCGGAAGTCCGAAATTATATATGGGCGTGAGGGGTGTGGTGTGTCCGGGGGACGTGTAGGCATGCTTCCGCTCGCATGAAGATCTCTCACGATCAGGTTCCTAGAAGTTGAATGAGTTTCGCTGCAGTGGCGTAGTCGTAGTAAATTTTAGCACACTGTGAGTTTCATTCAAGTGTATTTTTGTATGGATTGTGTTGTGCGTCTTGGGAGGAAGCTCCTTGTTTGCCTAACGCCGCGCCGTAAACACGTAAAGGAAACGGAAACAAGGGGCATTTGTGAACTTCCTCTCGGACTATCTTCATTTCATCTTCTGGTATACATATACACGTATTGGTTTGGATTTTAGACAAGAAAGAAAAAATCGAATTGTTTGCAAGTTTCTAATCCGGAAACGCCTTCGCCGGATGCACACAATTATATTTACAACATCTTCCGGTGCGGTGCGTCGTCGTCATGTTAAAATCTTTGCCTTTTGTGGAGGTTTTGAAATTCGGCGCGCGTCCAACAATAACGTCGCGTCATATTTTATGAGCACTTTAAATATTTATGCTTTTATTGCGCGCGACGATGGCAATTTTCAATGATTACAACTTTTAGAAGACGCTGCTGATAGAGAGGCAGCCGGCTCAGGCTAAGTGCTTTTCCCTCCGGAGATAAAGCCAGCCGAGCAGAGCACAGGCGAGGCCCAAAAAGGAAGTGAAAGAAATCAAGCGTGAGATGCAAAACAGGCGTCGCACAAATCTCGTCTAGACGGGCCAAAAAATGGACACATAATGGCATAATTTTTGAACCAACGATAATTGCTACCACCTGAAGATGGACATTTTTAACTTATTTAAACTTGTTTTCACCATCAACAATCAACAATACATTCTGTTCGCTTTTAATAGCCGAGGATTATCTTCCTCTGCACTAGAGTGATGTCCACTGGATGGTTTCTCAGAATTCAACCCATCTTAATGTTTTTATTTTTAATTGTGTTCTTAACCCGTTGAGAAAGGACGAACGTTTGGGGACGTTCGTGCTTTACGTCATCATCGGCGTACGTGCCGTTTTCGTTCAACATCCGCGCGCCCAAAAAACAAAACACACTCAATTGTGTTACATGTTACACGAGTTCCGTCGAATCGATGTCGGATTGTGTTTCAATACGTGAACGAATCGTAAACTGCGCGCAAGGCGAAAACTGCCTGTGCACGACTACAGTTAAATCGGTGAAAATGTTTTCTTCTGCACTTGGGTGTAGGTGTTTTGTATTTAAGCATGTAAGTAATAACCGTGTGTGTGTGTTGTGTACAGTGTACACACGGTGCACTCGCTGCCATCGCCATATAGCATATTTTTATTATTTTCGAGGTCGAATTTTATATTTCTTGAAGGTTACTTGACTCTGCCGCGCGCGGCGGACGACGAACGGGCTGCGTCCGCGAGAATACTCGTTTGCATGCGAGCGTGTGTTGGTGCGTGTGCTCGACGCTCGATGAATGAATGAATTTCGAAACGTAACTATCACCATCACCACGACAACGAGAACCAGAGCGACGACGCTGTAAGCAAAACAACACCACTTGATTTGTTGTTTTACTGCTTACTGTTTAAAAACTGTTTTAAATCTTTACATCTACGTGCAGACGAAATTGTAATGGCGGATAACAAGTTTTGTTTTTTTCAAGTTTTTTTCGCACTAAAACTAGCTGAAAATGTTGAAAGCAGCGCAAACGTAGGAGTACGTGAGCGCGAGCGAGTAGGCAGGCAGCGCGCGACGAGGACGAGCGAGCGTCGTGCGTCCGGCCGCTTTTGAATGTACTACGTATTCCATTCATAATGGCTGCCCCGGGTTCATTCATAAAAACCGTGCGGGCAGAGCGCGCGCGCGCGCACTCCAAACGCATGGAACGACCGCCGAGTGTCGCTAGCGTCGCAAGATCGCGTCGTGCATCCGCAGCGCTCGCTTGCTCTCATTCTAATCTTAGGTGTTGGTATAATGCGTACTCACTCGTGCTTGTCAGGCGAAGGGGGCGCCGCTCCCACCGCGCGCCACAGCTCGCTCTACTACGGCTCCTGCCTCGCTCGCGCTTCAGTATCCGACGACAATGCCGAGCGAGCAGTTAGTGCGCCGCACGCCGCTCTCGCACCCGAGAACGCTCACAGTCCTCCCAAGCCAAAACTAGGATTATTATAAAACTGGCTCGCGAGTGAGTGTTGAATACATACAACTGGCATCCAGTGAAACAGTGCGTGTGCGCGCCAAGTGTATTGCGATATTTGAAAAACCACGAATATCGAATGCGTTAGTGCTGTTGGATACACCGTACGTGTGCGCCGCTCCTTTTGGGATTATTCTCCGGCTCTTCTTCCTGGCGAAACATGCACGAGCGCGTCGAATGCAGCCTCGCGCCAGGGAGGACCCTACGTGTCGCATGCAACGGCCGCAATAAAAAGTGAGTTTTCCGCGAGCAAACGCGCGCGCGCGCATGTGTATATTTAAGTGTACTTATTTTAAGTCAGTGCGCGCGCGACGCCAGCCGCGATGGAAACTTTCTTATTTAAATACTCTAACGTAGGCGCTCGGCTGGCGCACGCACACGCACTTAAGTCACAACGCAGTCATGTGCGCGCATATACGCTTTCATTCAAGGGAAGTCATCAACACGGGAAGCACCTCAACGTTTGCAAAACCGACGTTCGCGACACATGCAGTTGGTAGTTATATCGACCTGAGTGCGTTCCGAGACGTTGAGGTTTTCGTGGTTCATCTTTTCCACGGTTCGTGGTATCCGTATCTGATGTCAATATGTTGAAAGGCCGCAGGCGATTCGGGGTAGGAAACGTTTGGAATGCGCGCCGGAGCGCGCCGCACGACGACGGCCGGCGAACGCAGAGTCAGCCTCTCTCATGATCTTCGTCTTCTTCGGCTTCTAAAAATCCGTCCAGAAAGTCTGCTTATTCTTTGTATATATTCTCGGTGCGATTTATGAATGTCGTCCTTTTTTTTTTCGCCTAGGCTTTCGCCATTTGTGTGCTCGTCGCTCATTCATTGTTGACTTGTTTTGTTGGTTTCCACCCAATCGGCGCGGCGCGTTGAAGTCTCTCAGCGCGAGATGCGTGTGCGTGGCGCGTTGGCTGCGCTTCGAGCACACACAAGAGACACAACCAGGTGTATGCCTGCCTGAGACGGCCGAGTGTGAGTGCTGATCGGTCCGTGGCGCGCCCACAGATCTCCTGGTTTCCTGGCCGCGCGCGCTGGTGGTATGTGTGCGTCGGTCGGTCGGACGCGGACGCTCGTTCAGTGGGCAGCCTTCGCTCGCGAGGCGGCCCACGCCGGCCCGACCGGTAACGAGAAACATACTCAGCTACTCCAGCTCTCCGCCGTCGTCGTCGTCGTAGTCGTATTATTGCATATTTATGAGTGTCGAGCGCGCACTCTTTTTTGTAAAAAGTGCGGGGTTGTAGATTTAGTACGTGTACAACATTTTCCAGCGCCCACCGAAACTTGAACCAACTCAAACCGAGTCTCGGCTAGATTTTAATTCTTAACTCGACTGGTTTATTCATTAGCCGGATGTACTTCCTCTGTATCAATCGATTGATGATACATACAGACTTTCCAGAGTTGTAGTTGTGCAAAAGATTCAATGTCTCAAATTGTTGCGCTGGTTGGCTTATGCCTAGCTCTTGGAATTCCGTTCGGAACAATTTAACTAAACAACTTTCAACGGTACATTTCGTTTCGTGGCGCGCATCGTGTCTTCTTATGGGCATCGTCGCTTATAGACGCGTCTATCTCCTCGCTATCGTGCTGGAAATATTTCTGTGTAAGTAGGTATGCGATCCGATGCGCGATGCCTCCTCGTACCATGTACCAATTAACGTTTCGGAGATTATTATTATTCCTACTATCGAGGAGTGACTTGTGTTGCAAGCGAATTTTTCTGCTTTTTCTGCATCTTTTCTACGGCTGTGGTTAATTTTTGCATCGTCATTAATCGCGGTGAGCGCGTATGATTCGTTTGGGTTTCGCTGCGCGATGAATGAATGAATTCATTCACATGACTCGGAATGAAAATGATTGGAAAAAATTGCACGCTCGACTCGCGATATCGACGCGCCGCGGCGTAAAAATCAAATGTCAAGGTGAATAATCGTCTATCGCACGGCGTGAGTAACGCGCACTGTGCGGCGGCGTACGTGATGTGATTCTATTGTAGTTGTAGGTGAATTGTGTGAGATCGGTGCAATAATCGGTGTGTGTTTGCTTTGTTCCAGCTGGCGACGATGACGGATCAAGGTGGAGCGTGGTTAGGGCGCTAGATCCGAAGGCCACATGGCTCACCATGGTGGCCCAACATCCTTGCCGCGCGCGCACCGACCGCGGGCGCCCATCATGAGCGCCCCGGCGCCGCTGACCGCCCCGCTAGCACCCCTACGTAGCCCGCCCGCCACAACGTTCGTGCCGACGACGACGACGCCGGTGACAAGCGCGCCCACGCCGCTGTCCGGCCTCGTCGCCGCAGCAGCCGGAGGGCCGCAGGTGTCGCTGCTGGCGCCGCGCCCCGAGACCGAGCGCAGCGACAATGTGTACGTGGAGACGCCCATCCGGCCCGCGCACCGCGAGGTGCCGCCGCCACCACCGGTGGCTTTTGTTGCCGCAAGCACTGCGCCACCACGCGTGCAGCGGCCGACGCGCCTGCCTATCCCGCCACCACCGGCAGCGCAATTGCTACCGCCTGTCACCAAGCAGCCCCAGTCGGCCGGCGCCTTCGGAAAGGAGGCGGCCGTGCCATCGCCCGCCATCCACGATACGAGGCCGTCGATCATCTGCGGCGAGTGCGGTCGTTGCAGCTGCCCTTCGTGTCAACAGCCGCGGCCGCTTCCCGAGTGTTGGACGAGTACGTATCACTGCTCAGCCGACACCATCATCGACTACGCATCCTGCTTATGCTGCGTCAAGGGCCTCTTTTACCACTGCTCGGAGGCGGACGGCGGCGACGCCTGCGTCGACGAGCCATGCAACTGCGGGCCCGATCGTCGGGCGGCACGATGGGGTTGTCTCACCGCACTTTCCTGCGTGCTTCCCTGCCTCCTCTTCTACTGGCCGCTGCAGTGCGGCAAGCATGTGGTGGAGGCATGCTATGCGCGGCACTCACGCCTTGGCTGCCGGTGTCGGCCGAAAGCGACGACCTCCCTGGTCGGCACCGCACAGACTATCAACACGCCCGAGAAGCGTCTCTTAGACGCGACGCCAGACTTTTAATCGGGCGTGCAGTGCTACAGTGAACCTAGTGGTAGCGAACCTAGTGGTGCGCGCTGAAAACTGACACAAATTCAAACGAACACTACGTTGTTGTAGTCATCAGCGCAACGGCGCTACAATGCATATACTTTATATTAATTTATTTTTTTGTAAATATCGGGGATGTATAACTAAAATGTAAAAAGTTTTTTTTTAAACGACTGTTGAAAATTATTTAAAAATGAGAAATAATAATAATGCAAAGTGCTTTTTGTGAGTTCGCCAGTGCCTCGAGGACGTCGCGATGGTCGCGTCCCCTGCGAAGATCATATACGAAAAAATAACGAAACGGGAAGACGCGCCTCGTCGCGCAACGATGATCTGCGGTATGGTGGTGGTGAATGGTGGTGTGTCATCAGCAGGGGGCGCACGCGCACCGAACGCCGAGGTTACGGCTCTCCAGTATTATCTAGTCCTGCGTGTTGAAACATGAAAAACGCGCTTTCACAACGCGTCGAGCTACACAACTCGGAACACAAAACACAAAGCGCGCAACCCTCTTGCAACGACCCGCAACGATTCTAAAAATGAATATCTTACCTTACAAGTATAAACTAAGTACATATTGTATATTATAGCTAAACGTTTTTTTTTTTGTTTTTAATAATTAAGAGAAAACAGAACTGAAATATTGTTAAGAAAATACTCTTACTACTATTCTATTCTTCAATGTATCATACGTAGAGGTACACATGTGTAACTATGTCTAGTTAAAAAACGGGATGGCGCGCGGAGGGTTGCCGCCAACGGCGGCGTTCGTAGCTCGACCGACGTTCGAAATGAAACGCGAACCAAAATGTGCGTGCGAATGCGAATCCTACGATTTATTGTATGAATGAGGTCCTTCAGAAACACAATTTTTAATATCCAATTGTAATTAAATTTGGTACAGAGAGAGAGACAGATAAACTGGTACGCAGTGGGCAAGTGGAAAAGCAAGCGAAACCGATATTAATGCAAAAAACACGGCGAGTGGTTGGATTTTTTTAACGCGGTGTGCTCGCATTGCGAACGCAAACCAAAATATAAATTATATTTGGTGGTGCACCGCGCTGCGATCACGCCGTATAATATTAACTTACAAAATTATCTATTACACGAGAGTGATGTAACACATGTAGTAAGTTTTGTAAACATTACAAAAACGAGTTTGGCGGCCGACCTGCGAACGTTGAAATGCGATGATGGAGGGTTGTGAGAGTGAGTAAAATTCGACAGTTTATCGAAAAATGTATAGACTATAATATATGTGTAGGTAGGAACAAATTTTTCAAATGAGAGTATATTTTTTATACGAGTTATAACCCTGGAAAACTTGTCGCATTTCATCGGAGCGCATGTCGTGGCTGGTTTCTTGAATGAAATGAAAAAACTCGCGCGATCCAATTCGTCTTTCCATTGTTCGGAAGGACGAGTGCATTAAATGCACGTGTGCAAGGGTTGCGTTCACTTTTTTTCCGAAATTGATTTCCTGGTGTCATCTGTCGCGTCGCCAAACATATATTCTATTTTTTTGTAAAGCGGAACGAGGAAGTACTCTCAGAACTAATATGCGAAACCAGAGAGCGAGATGCGGAAGCGTGCAAGAGGTGCCAAAACATGATTGAAGCAAAAGGCGCAGTGAAAATACACATTTGTAGCTATATGAAGAAAACAAATTGTAAATAAACAAAAACTGTAATATTACTATCTAATAATGTTAAAATAACACGAAACCATCGTCAACAAATTACATCATTGTTGTTTGTGTTTTTCTTATTTTCTGTTTCATCACTTCCAGCCGCCGAAATTATCTGCGCGCGGTTTTCAGCCGAGCGAAATTTGTGATGAGAACAACAGTGGCGCGCGTTGTTCGCCCGGTCGAAGATTGATGAATTATTGCACTGACCACAAAAACCTCCTCGGCGGCGCGGTGCTGCTTACTTCGCTCTATTATGCATTATGCATTATTGGCGCGCTCGCAGTGAACTCTGAACACAGTGGCATTCATTGAGGACGCAGCGCGATGAAGGCGTCGATTGTGTCGTCGCGTCGTCCTCGTCGTCGACGGGCGACTTTTTCGAAACGCGAATCGCTCGGGCACTACTCTTCGAATCCGCCTCATTAAAATGCACGAGCACGGCCGCGGCGCGCGAGGGCCGCCCTGGCCCGGGTCACATGACCGGAAGCGCTACTTATGTGCGTGCGCGCGACCGCCGCGCCACAGGATGATTTCCATCTGGTTACATCCTCATCAAGGCACAGCAGCTCAACGCACGTAGCATGTGGGATTTGGGTGCTTACGTGAAAAACCGATTTGGATTTCTAGCAATAACTGAATGTCTGTTGTGTGGGTATATTGAAAACGCCTTTTATTTGATGTTTGAATTCGCGTTCAATTACAAAGTAGTACATGTATTTTGCTCAATCCCCGATTTCAGCTGAGTGGCGCGCAGTCTGCGCGCCGTGTTTGCCGCTTGTTCGCATTCCGAAACGTGGGTGACGACTTTATAGCCTCTTGCAGTGATCGCAGCCAACCTACAGACCAACGACAAGCAACACCAGGTAATTCATAGAAACACACACGCAAAACATTAATAAAAGCTTGCAAAATCTCAAAACTAACAATATAGAAACACTTTCAACTCGATGCAGGCACAAACGTAACCTAAAAACGAATCAAGAGTATTTCTGCTGCGCGATGACTTAAATCTGATCTGAAACTGATAGGGTTGATGATAAGTTATTTCGAGATCGTTTCCTGTCGCGTCGTGATGTTTAAAAACGTTTTACTACGCTGACTGGCCCGTCGTTCTTAATATACGCTCATCCACACGCCAGACGCGTCCGCAGACTGCAATTCGCACGAATTTTCATTCAAACGCACGGCTAATTATAACCGGCGAGTGCATAAAAACCGCATTAATTTCGTTCGCCGTGCGACTCCCAACGTGCACAACTTGTTTTTCTATACGATTTCTGTACGATGATTTTTGTGCAATATCTGTAAATCTCGGCGGTGCGCGACGCTGCTGCGTTTACGACGTGTAAAAGTAGAAGTTATTCGCGTACGCGTATAAGTGCAATAATAATTTCCCATAATTTAAATTCCGATGCAAATTTAGCATCGCTCGGTGTCTCGGAGCGCCGTCGTGTGTTTGCTCCCCAGCGTCTAGTCTTCCTTCGCCTCGAAAACGTTTTCTGTTTTCATTCGTTTTCCGCTGACGACGTGCGTGGATAGGCTTCTCGCACACACACGCTCTTCTAAACTGGTCGAGTGGTCCGGCCGTCGATTACATTTGAATTTTTTCGAATCCGCTCGCTGCGCGCTGAGTGAAAAATGAATAATAAACGCTAAAAAATGCGAGCGCACAAAAAACTGGATTAGGAATGCGTGCGTACGGCTGGAATTCACGAGCGCGCGGCGATTCGACGTCGCGCTCCGAGAGTATCGTAATTGAGTATAATAATAATAAATTAAACGGAAGTTGGTTCGTCGTCCCGGCCGCCGCCGTTCGATGGCTGACGATGATGACGAACGTGTTCCACAGGATGGGGACTGTAGTTATCCACGTCGAGAAACGTGGCGCGGAGTTTTAGTAAATAAGAAAAACACGAATAGCGTTCGATAATTTAATCAGCTAGATTCTCATTCACATTCTCGATTGAGATCTTCGATTGGGATGGACCTTGAGCGTAAACGGAAATCGTTTTTATTATTATTTTTTCGTTGCTGGCCTAGCCCGTAATAGGTTAGTTAATTTAATATTTCAAGCTCGTTAGAAAATGTTTTTTAATAACATCGCGTTTTGTTCGTGTTATCGGTTTGTGGCAAATAAGGAAATGCAACATAATTGTCGTTAGAGTTTCGATGTGTGTTTGTTTGTAAGCGGATAGAAAAAAGTGCGTAGTTGTGAAATATTTTAGTGACAAATGTGGCGCGTATCCGGTTTCCTATTACATACGCGACACACACTCACAGCAGATGTAATAAATTAAAAACGGGCGTTCACGATACTGTTTGTTGTGTTGTGTTATTTTTTTTATTCGCAGCTTATGTCGAACTGTACAAATTACACTTTGGCATAGGTAAAGTACACAAAGTCAAACATTCCATTCACACCGCACAATGGCAGCAGCGAAAAGTGCTGGGCTTTTAATGCGATCGACTGAAAGGGCCCGGGCCGAAAAGAATAAATTCGCAGGTCCATTTTCGACCTTTATGAATGTCCGTGCCGTGCGCGCCGTTAAAAGTCGACGTTAAGCCCTCGAAAAACCGGCGAAGAATTAAAACTCCGAGAGCTGAATAGGAATGCCGAATGCGATTCCGGGAAGGCGGAATTTTTCTCTCGCGTCGGGTGGTTCGGATGATGGTGTGTTCTTCGCCAGCGCACAACCTGCCCTCGGCATCATTCCATTCCGCATTGCACATGCTGCACCCCGTGTTGTACTCTTTGAAGGGCACTTGCTTGAGAACCGTCTGCACCGATGGGTGGATGCGGCTGCAGCTGTTGTTTTGGGAAGTCGACGGCGTTCACACACACACACATATACGGCCACAAGGGGAGGAGGAGGTTGTGCACCGTCTTCCGAATCTGCGCTTGAGGGCTGCGACCACTTGTGGATTTACGACCACCGAAGAGAAACAAGCAAACTGAAAATCGTTCTCTGTTCATCATTCTAATCCGAATGGCATTAATTAAATGCGCATTTTTCATCCTGGGTTCTATAGGTTTCGGGTAGTACTCATGTCAACTTGTTCTTCCGTTTGGCATTAATTCGACAGATAGATTTCCTGTTGATAGACTCGAATGCATTTATCATTCCCCGCCGCGCGTCGATTTATTTCTGTTTTTGTTTTATTTACTCAACAAGTCGAATCTAATTAAATTTGCAAATATAGAAAGAGCGAAAGTCTCGACTTAATTAGATTTGCGCGCCGCTGCCGCTGCTGCTACGAACGAATTCCGATGAAGTAATTTATAAAATTTCCTTTCTTGGCCGGGCGTAAATGTTAAGTACTCCAGTTGTGGAGTGGACGGTTCGGTGCGTAGACGGACGGCCGAAGATTTTTATTCAAATTTCCTCGCCAGCTAAAGGTTTTTATTGCGTTATTTTATGTTCGTTTTGTGCGTGGTTTCACTCCTTCGCTTACTATAAACGCGAGTAATTTATGAATTACGCCGCCATACGTTTTCATTCATATACGAATTGTTATTTCTGAGGCGGAGGTAGGAGGATATATTATATTTCTGCGCGGTGTGACTTTCTCTACGAATGTCTTCTGATTAGCGGCGCGCGTCGCCCGGAATGGAGATTTTCGTGTGTGTGCGCGACCGCGAGACCGAGGCTTTACACGTCCTTTACGTGGTCCGACGCTTTCGTGCGCTTATCGCCCTGCTGGGTTCCTACCTGATGCGTGCGCGCTCGTCGTCGTTATGGTCACCATCTACCATCTGGCCACACGAAACTCCTTCACACTCCGGCCTACTACGCGACGGACGTGTGTCCGTCTTTTGCGTCTGCATACCTGTGTGCCTACGCGCCCAAACCAAATGTCTCCGACTGCGCCACAGTCCACACACACAGCTAATATAATAACAAACGCTCAAAATTTCAATTCAATTCGCTTGCTATAAATAAATATGTATTAATTTGATGATTATTGTTGGTTTAGCAAACGCGTTCGTTCCGTGTGTGTGTGTGTGTGTTGTGTGTGCACTAAGCGCTGAACAAATATTTATTCGACGCGCTCTAATTTCCTAATTTGTTCGAGTGCGCGGCAATTGCATCGATGAGTTGCGATCGAAGACTTCGACGACTTGGACGGCGTATCAATGAGATTTATTTTTGTTTTGCGAGAGAGTCGCTTCGAGAATAGACCGCCGCGATGTCGGCGCGCTCGTTCGGGGAGCTATTTCGGTGGCGGATGTTTACTAAATATATTACGCGCCGCACTTCCTGTCCGCGGGCCGCCGCGGCGGGGCATAATGCGGCATTATATTCCGTATCGATTCCGATTGTACGCGCGCCGAGCGCGTATTGCGTTTCGATGAGCTCTCCATTCATAAACACGTCATTACGACACTCAAGCGACAAACAACTTGCGTACGAATCGTCCTCGGCCAACGTCGAATATGCTTTCATTCATCATCACCATCCGAAAATAAATTTTTTGATCGTGAAAATCAACTCTGATAAAATATTTAAAAATAAACCATTTCCGATAGCCGCAGTTGGATTAGATTTTAATAGTGGTTAACTTATTTCACTCCCTTTCTAATGAGACATCTTCTATTACATTATCTGCGATGGTATTGAAATAACAATCAATCAAAGTTGATGTTGATGTTTGTGTAAGTCATAGGAAATTTTCCTCTGCACATTCTCCTGCTGACCTGCAGCAGCTAGGCACTTTACCAGAGTTGAATGTTTCATGTTTCATACATTGAATGCACCGCGCGCACACCAACTTCAATTTCGCCCGCTCGCTCATGTTGTTTTGATGATGTTTGATGATGATGATGCGTTTGGTTATTCTGGCCGCGTACGCGCCGCCGAGCGTGCGTGGTGTGAGTGTGTGTGTGTGTGTGGAGTGGAGTCGGGGTTCGGCCGGATCGTCTCGAACTCGTCACTTCCGGTGGCGGGGGAGCCGGGCCGATGCCGTGGGAACACGCCAACAGCCAGAGCCAGCAAAAACTAACGTCTTACTAGCGCATTAAACTTCTAAACCTAAGCAATAAACATGCTAAA